GTGCTCATGGGGTAGTTGGACAGGGTTGGGGGGGGCATGTAGGGATGGGGAATAAAAGGAAATAACTATGTCCTTCAAGCTGCTGCTGGAAAGTGGACTCTTCCCAAGGGACTCTGTTAGACCCTTTTCACCACTTCTCCCTTCTCACCCACATTCTGGATGCCCAGCTGACACGGCCAAAGAGCCAGCTTTGTCAACAGAGCTTTCAGGCACAGAGCCCTGTACTCCCTCTGGCCCAAAGCCATGACTTCAAAGTCTTCACACTGCCCTTTGGCCCAGGTTGCTCTCTTGACACACAGATAATTTGACCTGAACGTTGAAGTGAGGTGAAGGCAGAGGCCACTTCTTTAGGTACTTCCCTTTCTCTCTATTACTGTCTTATATTTTCAAAGTCCAAGTTGGATCAATAAGTATTAAATGTATCACATATTTAAAAATTTTTACTAATTTTTATTGGAATGTAGTTGCTTTGCAATGCTGTATTTGTTTCTTGTTGTACAGCAAAGTGAATTAGTTATACATATACATATATCCACTCATTTTTAGATTTTCTTCCCATTTAGATCACCACAGAGCACTGAATTCCTTGTGCTAAACTGTAGGCTCTCATTATTTACTTATTTTATACATTGTATCAGTTATAAATATATGTCAATCCCAATCTCCCAATTCATTTTACCCCACTCCCCCTTTGATAACCATAAGTTTCTTCTCTACATTTGTGACTCTATAAATATTTTTGCTTTGCAAACAAGTTCATCTCTACTATTTTTATAGATTCTACATATAAGTGATATTATACAATGTTTTTCTGACATACTCTACTTTGTATGCTAGCCTCCAGGTCCATCCACATCTCTGCAAATGTCATTCCCTTTTATGGCTCTGTAATATTCCATTATATATATGTACCATATCTTTTTTATCCTTTCCTCTCTCAATGGACTTTTACCTTGCTTTTGTGTCCTGGCTACTGTAAATAGTCCTGCAGTGAACAGGGTATGTGAATCTTTTAGAATTATGGTTTTCTCTAGATACATGCTTAGGAGTGGGGCTGCTGGGTTATATGGTAGTTCTATTTTTAGTTTTTTAAGGAACCTCCATACTGTTCTCCATAATGATTGTACCAGTTTACATTCCCACTGATAGTACAAGATGGTTCTCTTTTCTCCACAATCTATCCAGCATTTATTGTTTATAGACTGTTTGATGATGGCTGTTCTAACTGATGTGAGGTGATATCATCAATTGTAGTTTTGATGTGCATTTCTCTAATAATTAGCAATGTTGAGAATCTTTTCGGATGTTTGTTGGCCATCTCTATGTCTTCTTCAGAGAAATGTCTATTTAGGTCTTCCACCCATTTTGTGATTGGGTTATTTGTTTGTTTTTGATATTGAGCTGCATAAGCTATTTGTGTATTTTGGAAATTAATCCCTTGTTGGTTGCTTCATTTACAAATATTTTCCCCCATTCTCAGGATTGTCATTTCATTTTGTTTAGGGTTTGTTTTGCTGTGTAAAAGCTTTTAAGCTTAGGTCCCGTTTTTTAACTTTTGTTTTTATTTTCATTATTCTAAGCAGTGGATTGAAAGAGATCTTGCTGTGACTTTTATCAGAGAATGTTCTGCATATATTTTCCTCTAAGAGTTTCATAGTACCTAGCCTTACATTTAGGTCTTTAATCTATTTTGAATTTGTTTTTGTGTATGGTGTTAGGGAGTATTCTGATTTCATTTTTGTACATGTAATTGTCCAGTTTTTGCAGTACCACTTACTGAAGAGACTCTCTTTTCTTCACTGTATATTCGTGCCTCCTTTGTCATAGAAAATGCTCAAAATTCTCCAAGCCAGGCTTCGACAGTACATGAACCGTGAACTTCCAGATGTTCAAGCTGGATTTAGAAAAGACAGAGGAACCAGAGATCAAATTGCCAACATCCGTTGGATCATTGAAAAAGCAAGAGAGTTCCAGAAAAACATGTGCTTCATTGACTATGCCAAAGCCTTTGACTGTGTGGATCACAACAAACTGGAAAATTCTTCAAGAGATGGGAATACCAGGCTACCTGATCTGCCTCCTGAGAAATCCATATGCAGGTCAAGAAGCAACAGTTAGAACTGGACATGGAACAACAGACTGGTTCCAAATTGGGAAAGGAGTACGTCAAGGTTGTATATTGTCACCCTGCTTATTTAACTAATATGCAGAGTACATCATGAGAAATGCTGGGCTGGTTGAAGCACAAGCTGGAATCAACATTGCTGGGAGAAATATCAATAACCTCACATATGCAGATGATGCTACCCTTATGGCAGAAAGTGAAGAAGAACTAAAGAGCTTCTTGATGAAAGTGAAAGAGGAGAGTGAAAAAGTTGGCTTAAAACTCAACATTCAGAAAGAGATCATGGCATCTGGTCCTATCACTTTATGGCAAATAGATGCAGAAAGAGTGAGAAACTATATTTTTTGAGCTCCAAAATCACTGCAGATGGTGACTGCAGCCATGAAATTAAAAGACACTTGCTCCTTGGAAGAAAAGTTATGACCAACCTAGAGAGCATATTAAAAAGTAGAGACATTACTTTGCCAACTAAAGTCCATCTAGTCAAAGGTATGGTTTTCCCAGTAGTCATGTATGGATATGAGAGTTGGACTGTAAAGAAAGCTGAGTGCCGAAGAAGTGATGCTTTTGAATTGTGGTGTTGGAGAACACTCCCTTGGACTGCAAGGAGATCCAGTCAGTCCATCCTAAAGGAAATCAGTCCTGAATATTTGTTAGAAGGACTGATGCTGAAGCTGAAACTCCAATACTTTGGCCACCTGATGCAAAGAATGCAGTCATTTGAAAAGAGCCTGATGCTGGGAAAGATTGAAGGCAGGAGGAGAAGGGGATGACAGAGGATGAGATGGTTGGATGGCATCACTGACTCAATGGACATGAGTTTGAGTAAACTCCAGGAGTTGGTGATAGACAGGGAGGCCTATCATATTTCAGTCCATGGGGCTGCAAAGAGTCGGACATGACTGAGCAACTGAACTGAACTGAGGTGCTCATAGGTGCAGGTACGTGGGTTTATCGCTGGACTTCTATCTTGTTTCCCTGATCTATATTTCTGGTTTTGTGTCTGTACCATACTGTTTTGATTACTGTAACTGTGTAGTATAGTCTGAAGTCAGGGTGCCTCATTCCTGCAGCTCTATTCTTCTTTCTTAACATTGCTTTTACTATTCAGGGTCTTCTGTGTTTCCATACAAAGTGTAAAGTTTTTTGTTCTAATTCTGTGAAAAATGCCCTTGATAATCTGATAGGGATTGCACTGAATTTGTAGATTGCTTTGGATAGTATAGTAATTTTCACAATATTGATTCTGCCAATCCAAGAACATGGTATAGCTTTCCATTTGTGTCATCTTTTATTTTTTTCATCAGTATTCTATAGTTTTGCCTCCTTAGGTAGGTTTATTCCTAGGTATTTTATTCTTTTTGATGTGATGGTAAATAAGATTGTTTCTGTAATCTATATTTATGGTCTTTCATTGTTAGTGTATAGGATTGCAAGAAATTTTTATGTATTAATTTTGTATCTTGCAACTTTACCAAATTCACTGATGAGTGCTAGTAGTTTTCTGGCAGCATCTTTAGGATTTCTTAAGTATCGTATCATGTCATCTGCAAACAGACAATTTTACTTCTTTTCCAATTTGGATTCCTTTTGTTTCTTTTTCTTCTCTAATAGCCATAGCTAGAACTTCCAAAACTGTGTTGAATAAGTGTCTAGAGTGGACGTCCTTGTCTTGTTCCTTACCTTAGAGTTTTCACCATTGAGTTTGATGTGAGCTGTAGGTGTGTTGTATCTTTGTTATGTGTCGTATCCTTTATTATGTTGAGGTAGGTTCCTTCTAAACCCACTTTCTGAAGAGTTTTTATCATAAATGGGTGGTATCACATATTTATTATTCTTTTTGGAGACTCCATTTGACTCTTTCCTCCCCTTCCTGACTTCTAGTTTCCTGCCTTATCATATCCTAGACATAGAATTGATTACAGAGGATCTATCACACATCTCCATTCCTCTCCACTTGCTGCCTCTTTCTCTGATTACCCACAGTACACAGCTTAGCAGAGAGCCAACAGTAGGTACAATTTTGCAAAAAATAAGGGAAATAAGTTTTGTCCTATTACCTATGTTAATTAAAAAGCCTTCTTAGATAATCTGAAAACTGTGGCTTACACCACAACCCTCCATCATCTCTGCAGCCAGGAATTAGCTCTTGGGGTCCTGTCTAATTCATTACTAAGGAAGGGAGGAGAGGTGATCAGTGGCTGTCTGGATGCTGCTGATCAGTAACTGAATCTTGGTCAACATTGTCTTTTCCAGACTTGACAAAATCCAGTTGGCTTTCTCACTGCATATTCTGGTGGCATCTTAAACCTGGTAGAGTTCAGTAAACTTTCTGGAAATCTGGGATTTACAGAGATTGAAATAGCTCTATTAAAGCCTAGATTGTCAAGGAATCTACCCCAGGTCTGGTTATCTTTTTCAATGAGAGTAATTTATCTTTACAATCAAAAGATTAACATGTTCAGGTAAACTGTGTTCCTGTGTGGGTTTAAATCTTACTGTTCAAAAGTCATTCTTGATAGTAAAAAATAAGGATGAGGGAAATGGATTGAAAACCATTCCACAGGACCCTCTATGGAAAAGGAGTCAAAGATTATAAAACTTGAGAGGTTATGAGTTTAATGACGTATACCCCAATGTCTTCTTTTTGGAAAACAGCTTTTTTGAGAAGTGAGGGTCAGAAATGGGTCATGGAGCAGATATTTTATTGCTCAGGAATAGTAAGTCCTCTGAGTCTGGTTTTCCTTCAGCCCTGCTCTCTACCCCCTAGTTGGCTAAATCTCCTTACAGAGCAGGATATGCCCAGGGGACCCTGGATCAAATAACCATGACAACAGGCTGACGGGGCTTTCTCTTCCTCTCTGCCCTCCTCTAGATGGGAGGTGTTAATAGCTTTGCTCAAGAGCAATTGGATTTGTTTCCTCTGGACGAGACGCTCACTCAGCAGCCTGGGCTCTGTGGCACCGAGACAGCATCAGCTGGAGTGAGTGTGGGGGTCCCGAGACAACCTTACCTGGTTGGTTTCTGAGAAGTAAAGAAGTCGAGGGTAAGGTTCTTCTGGGAGTTTTACTGAGGATGAAGAGGCCTGCAGGGAAACCCCTGAGGGAGAGGTTACTGAGGGTGAATGACCAAGAATGTAAATACTCTGCAGCCACTGGTTTTTCCAGAACACAACTGAAATTGCTGGTTTTATGAATGGCTACTTTCTTATCTGGCTGAGCAGAGGAACGACTGGCATCTATGCTTGCTTAAAAAGAGAGGAATTAATGCAGAACTTTTTCATTAAAAAAACAAAAGATTAAACCTGAAACTCTTTCTTTTAGTCTCTTGGACCCTCACCTAAGAGCTCCTAAACTTCATCTAAAACCTCTTATCTCTTAGAAGCTACTTTCATTTTTTGTTTCTTACCCTGAATACTTAAAAGAAACTTTGGTCTCAACAAGTAGGCTGCCAGGCCTCATCCTTGTGGGACTCTAAGGACTGACCACTTGTCTGTGACATTCATCCTCCAAATACCTTCTCTTCAGGGAACTTGAAGCCTGGGTCCCCTTGATGGCCTTGAGGGATAGGGACTGACCCTGTGGATCTCAGGCTGAGGACTTTCTCATGGACCTAAAACCTTCTGCTTTGCAGCTTGAAGAGCTCCAATGGCAGTCAACAAGGGCCCCACCTTGCTGGATGGAGACCTCCCTGTAAGTAACTTGGGCTTATATGAAGCAGTAGACAACTTTAGTGGGAGGGAGGAGCTGGGAGGAAGGGCTCTGGGGGCTTAGAGCAAAATATCTCTAGGTTATATTCATAATTCATTGACCATTACATCTTCATTATTCTTGCTTTTGCAGGAGGCTGTTAGAGAATGTGGAGGGGTAGGAAATGATGCCTATTAAAAACTAAGCACCTTGGAGAAAAAATTGGCTGGTGGGGGACAAGGAGAGGAAGGGAATTACTATATTCTAAAGCCTGACACAGACGTCCATGCTTTGTCCATCCAGGCAAAACTGAATTCTCAGGACTGAGACTCTGCATTCTGTAACTCCAGAGCCATCTTGGATATGTTAGTTTATGTAAATGGCACCTCTTAGAGCTACACAGCACACGTTATGTATGTGAGAAGGGGCTACAGGGGCAGTGTGTCCAGTACTGTGTCTAGCCTGGTCTTCAGCATGACTCAGGGAGGTTTTACATGTTTAGGTGTACTGATGCCGCCTGGCAAGGCCTCTCCATCTTAGGCACAGTTCAAATAATGAAACTGGAAAATTGTGAGCCCGTATAATATCCATCTTGTCCCGAGTTAGGCTTTAACTAACCTTTGCACTAGGAATCGCAATGTGTTGTATTTGATCATAGAACATAGAGAGGCATAAAATGGTCACGTGCATAGTTAAGCCATCCTAACAGAGGGTAGTGTATTTCCATCCCAGGACCTCTCTCCCTCTTTGGCTTTGCCTAAATCAACTCCCGAAGGCTTCGTCCAAAATGTTAAAGAAAAATTTTCTTGTTTACAGTTATAACCTTTTTCTAGTTCAAATTGTCAAGAATCTAGTTCAAATTGTTAAGAATCTCATCTGCAAGACCAAAATCTGAAATATTGTAGCCTACGGTCTGGTGTACATGCAAGTCTCCTACAAACAGAAGAAGCTAGGTCCTCCCCTCTGGAGAAAAACTATGTAGCAGTACAAATTCAAAACTACAAAAAGAACCTGAACATCTGAGCCAGACGTGGGATGTTTATGTGGAGAATTCCTAATATTCCTAAGAAGAGACAGAAAAATACAATACCCTTCACTAGCCCCAGCAACCGAATCCCATGGACATACTGCCTTCTCCTCACCCATCCTTTCACCCATCTTATGTTATTTTGAAGCAAATCACAGATTTGCAATTTCAGGCCTGAGTTGGAAGCCTGGCTCTGCCACTTATTAGCTGTGTGTTGTTGGGTAAGTCACTTCACATCTCTGAGTCTTTGTCTCTTCATTGGCAAGTGCTGGTGACAGTGCTGACTTCAGAGGGTTGCTGTTAGTGTTACATGAGGTTATGTTACTGAAGCACCTCAATCAGTGCCTGGAGCATAATGGCACTGAGTAAATATTGTCTCTCTGCAAGATTAGAATCTGCATTTTTTTTTTTTTTTACTCAAAGACCACTTTTTTTTATTTTAAGTAAGTTTCCTAGCTGATCCAAAGTTTAATTATGTGCCTGCTGCCAAAGTTAGAATGCATTAATAAGAGCCCAGCATCCCAGTAATGAAAGGTGATGTCTCACTGGACCCCACACATTCAGATCACACCTGGAATGCTGTCTTCAGGCTTGAGTGCTATAAAGGCTATGTCAAGATGTAGTGTGTGCAGAAGATGGAATTAGCAGATCAGGGCACTGAGTCATTTATAAGCTAAGTTAGGAACTAGAGCTATTTAGAATACAGAAGGAACTGCTAAAGACAGAGATACTTATCAAGTGTGTGAAAGGCCAGCCCATGAATGATGAAATACATGTGTTCAGCATTGTTCCACAGGGCAGCGGGTGGAGCTGTGGGTGGAGGTGGATGCCAGTTCAGCCACGCTGTCCAAGGAGGGGCATAGGCCACTCTACGAGGAGTAAGCTCCATTCGAGGAGAAGTCCAAATACAAGCCTCCCAGAGGGATGTGGGAAGAGCACTCTTGCTTCAGAGGCCCCTGGAGGCCTAGGATTCTGTCATTCTGTCCAGTTGGGCAGATCTGAACGCCTTAGGTGCAGCCCTGTCACCTATTCAGCTAATATGACTGGCGGCTTTGGGTGAGGCCCCGAGACACACTGGTGAGAGCCTCCTGGGATGGAGCCGAGTGCAGAGGTGGTCAGCACCAGCACAGCACTGTGTTTGAGTGCGGACACATCCCAGGGAGGGAGGTGGTGACTTCTGACGTGAGGGAGGGCCGGGAAGCTTCTCAGGAGAAATGATGCTCAAGCTGTCTTCCGCCAGACAGAAAGGACTGTGGGAGGGAAGGGGCGCACCCCAGGCAGTGGGACCAGCACTGGAGGCAAGGAGGTGTGTCCCAGAAAGACCCAAAAGATGTTCAGGTGAAGCTCCCAATCCACGGTGGACCAAAGCTCTAGACAGGTGCACCGGCACACTCACTCCTAGTCATGAAGTTCAGGTTGAGTGGCTGCAGGGTGGGATGGCCCCTGGAGGATGGAGGCTGCCCCAGGAGCTCTCCAGAGCCAGGACTATGACCAGGAGAGCGCGGCTGCCCGGCTCTTATGTTTCCTGTGGGGCCTGCAGAGGCCTCTCTATTCTGGATTCCTCCTAGGTCACCTGGACCCAGGCTAGCGCTAGTGGGCACCGCAGCTCTGAGACTCCCTCCCCAGGAGGTAGGAGAAGGAGGTGGGCTGATTTCTTTCACTGCTTTCCTTCCATGCCAGGAGCAGGAGAATGTGCTGCAGCGGGTCCTGCAGCTGCCGGTGGTGAGCGGCACCTGTGAGTGCTTCCAGAAGACCTATGCCAGCACCAAGGAAGCCCACCCCCTGGTGGCCTCTGTATGCAATGCCTACGAGAAGGGTGTGCAGGGCGCCAGCAGCCTGGCAGCCTGGAGCATGGAGCCAGTGGTCCGCAGGCTGTCCACCCAGTGTGAGTCCTCGTGGCACTCGGAGGCTGACTGCCTGCCAATCTTTTACCTGTCTGCCAGTCTGTCTGATAGCCAGCTTGTCTGATGCCTTTTTGTTTGTGTCTGACTACCTTCCTAACTCTATATCTCATTACATAGTTGTTTCACTTATAGATACAGATGATTTAGATGTAGATATATGGCGCTAATGGTAAAGAAACTGCCTGCCAATACAGGAGACGCAGGTTCGATCCCTTGATCTGGAAGATCCCCTGGAGGAGGGCATGGCAACCCACTCCAGTATTCTTGCCTGGAGAATCCCATGACCAGAGGAGCCTGAAGGGCTGTAGTCCATGGGGTCACAAAGAGTCGGACACAACTGAAGAGACTTAGCATGCAAGCACGTTACTGAGAGATAGATATAGACATAGGTCTCATCTCATCTATAATGCCTATCTCTGATCCAGTTGGCATTTTCCTAGGATGATAATTGGCAGGAGAAGGGGTGGACAGAGTTATGGGGTGCACAGTGGGGGGTGTGGGGCATACAGCAGACCAGACACACAGTTTAGCTCCAGATCCAGCAGCAGCAGAAACTGGAAGAGTCTGGCACAGAGCCAGTGGGCAGGAGGGCTGGCCTGGCAGGGCTGGGGGGAGTGGAGGAAGAGGGGAAGCCCTCTGGGTCCTGCAGCTGATGGTACTGGTCCCATGACAGGCAGCGGCAGAAGAGAGCTGCCAGCCAGGGACCTGAAGGTGGAGGACAGCTTACCAGGTCTGCCCCTGTTCAATTTGTTCTGCCTTATTTGAAACTATGGTCTCCTTGGCACAGCTCTTGACAGGACTGAGGGAAATTCCAGCAGTCTAGGACTTTCCACCATCCTGAAGAGAGTTATGGGTACCTGTGGATTCGGCACAGCAAACAAGAGAGGACAGATACAAAGAAAGCCTGGGCCTGGGCCCGGGCCCTCCTCCCTGCCTGCAAGCTCCTTAAATAATCTCCCTGGGTCTCGTTTGGCCCAATATCAGAAGTCAGCTGACTCATCTGGGCTCTCTCTGCTGCTTGAGAATTTTGTGAAAACCTAAGATACCTGGAGAAAGAATATGTGAAAGAGAAGATATAGGTATCCTTTGAAACTGTGATCTCCATGATCATGGGCGCAGAGCTGATGTCCTCAGCAGCCCCTGGGTCATGTCTTCCAGGAGCATTGGCATCCTCTGTCACTTGCCCCTTTCTCTTTCCTGTGACCCTCTTCCCACTGTTTACCATCTCACTCCTGAAGGTTAAAATGAAGGGCCACGGACCATCTGGGACTCTAGACCAGCTGTCATCTCTGGACCTGAGTGGTACCAGGCCAGCTCCCACCAAGGTCTTCCCTTAGGGCCTGACTGCCTTTCCTTCCCCCTGCCACTTCTGCTTTCCCCTGTCGTGTTCACCCAGCACTCACCCAGACAGGGGTCATAGGAGAACGAGAGACCAAGATCCGCTGGTGATTCCCATAGCTTCTGTCACTTCCTCCTCATAACAACCCTGCAGGATTTGTCCACATTAATTAACACTTGACAAATAAGGAAGTTGAGGCTCAGCCAGGTTGTGACTTGCCTGAAGTCACACTGCAGATGCAGGCACCAGGCTCAGAACAGGTCTGCGTGACTGCAGAGCTTCTACCCAGAGGGAAGACTTCTGGTCTCAAGGAGTCACAGTGGATGCAAGCCAATGGTGGCAGAGGGCCTCCGGCTGCCCGGTGCTTTGGAGGTGGCAGGGCTGGGGGTTTTGAGGGCTCCAAGGGGCCTTACTCGGCACAGAGGCCCCTGCTAGGTCCTCACAGTGAAGGCAGGGCTCACCCCACCATGGCCTTTTGCTTCCAGTCATAGCTGCCAACGAACTGGCCTGCCGAGGCCTGGACCACCTGGAGGAAAAGATCCCCGCCCTCCAGTATCCTCCTGAAAAGGTGAGCTCCTCCCCTCTTCTCCAGCACTTCCACCTTCGGTTGTCACTGCCTCTCAGCGGAGGAGCAAACAGGAGCCCATGATGCAGGACGGCGTGGCAAATGCCTTTCCAGGCTGGTGGCCATTGCCTGCCCCCAAAAGTGCACAACAGGCTTCTTTCTCTCCCTGTGGGACCAGATGAAGGCGGGCTTTCTGAAACCAGCAGGCACAGGCCAGAGGCAGACTCATACAGGAGCTTGGGGTGGGGGCCACTGCTTCTGATCCCTCCTCTGTGAGATACCCCATGGGCCTACATGAGATTGAAAAAGTCATTTTACCTGGATACCTATTCATTGGGTATTTGCCATGGTAAGGGCCAGGTCTGGTGCTTTAGGGGAATACATTTCACTCTCAGACCTCATCCATCTCACTGATAAACTACCACTCATCTCACATTTACTGAGTGAGCCCTATCCTATGCCAGGAGTCATGATATGTGATTTATAGAGTCCTCTCCTTTAATCCTCTTTCTCCCTGGTGGCTCAGATGGTAAAGAATCTGCCTGTAATACAGGAGACCCAGGTTTGATCCCTGGGTCAGGAAGATCCCTTGGAGGAGGGAATGGCACCCCACCCCAGTATTCTTGCCTGGAGAATCCCATGGACAGAGGAGTCTGGCATTCTACAGTTCATGGGGTCACAAAAAATCGGACACAACTGAGCGATGAACACTTTCAACCTTCTGGGATAGGGGTGGTATCCCCATTTGACAGAGAAAACTAGTGACTTCCCCCTGACCACATAGCCTGAAGTGGAGGCCACAGGAGAGCAGCACTGTTCAGCTCTGAGGCCTTGCTCTTCACTTATTTTTCCAGATAAAGGGCAAAGCCTTTGTCACAAAGAAGCTCCCAAGTCAAAGGAGTTGTTGTTCAGTCACTCAGTTGTGTCTGACTCTTTGACACCCATGGACTGCAGCACACCAGGCTTCTCTGTCTTCACTGTCTCCTGGAGTTTGCTCAAACTCTTGTCCATTGAGTCAGTGATGCCATCCAACCATCTCATCCTCTGTTGTTCCCTTCTCCTGTCCTCAATCTTTCCCAGCATCAGGGTCTTTTCCAATGAGTTGGTTCTTTGCATCAGGTGGCCAAAGTAGTGGAGCTTTAGTGTCAGCACCTGTCCTTCCAAGGAATATTCAGGAACCCAAGGAACAGTATTAAAAGGCAAAAAGTCAAAGGAGAGAAAGACATTATTTCAGTGCAGAACCTGTATGAAGGCCAGCCACATCCGTACGTTCACCTAGGCACAGATGGGAATGTGAGGAGCACTCTGGGGTCAGGACAGAAGATACAGTGGAGGAGGTGCCTTGAGGATATGAGGACAAGTGTTATCAAGAAGGTGGTCACTGGGGTGATTCTTGAAGGGTGATTAGCATCTCGACAGGCAAAAATGGGGTGCTGAGAAGCCAGGAGATTTAAGTAGTTGGCGCAGAAAGGACTGGAGCCCTTTCCCTTTAAAGTTCAGCTTAATCAAGGTGCCCCAATACTGGCACCAGTCCCCTAGGCCTTTAAATGAGGCTTTCCTGAAGCGGGATGTAGGCCCTGCCAGAGCCTCACGCCTGACTCCCCATCCCCGCTTCCACCAGATCGCCTCTGAGCTGAAGGACACCATCTCCACCCGCCTTCGCAGCGCCAGGAACAGCATCAGCGTGCCCATTGCCAGCACTTCAGACAAAGTCCTAGGGGCCGCTCTGGCTGGCTGTGAGCTCGCCTGGGGGATGGCCAGAGACACTGCCGAGTACGCCGCCAACACCCGAGCTGGCCGGCTGGCCTCTGGAGGGGCCGACTTGGCCTTAGGTGGTGTTGAGAAGATGGTAGAGTTCCTCCTCCCTCCAGCCAATGAAGAGTCAGGTATCTGCCATTGTGGGGGGTGCTGGAAAGGGAGATCCCCCCCACCCTTGCCCTGCTGCTTGGGGATTAGGAAGAGGCAGCCGGGCTCATCTAGCCACTGCTCTCCCTGGTGGCTCAGAGGTTAAAGAATCCACCTGCAATGCAGGAGACACAGGTTCTATTCCTGGGTTGGAAAGATCCCCTGGAGGAGGGCATGGCAACCCACACCAGTATTCTTGCCTGGAGAATCCCATGGACAGAGGAGCCTGATGGGTTTAGTCCTTAGGGTCACAGAGTTGGACACGACTGCAGTGATTGGGCACGCAGCCACTGCTGTGGAGCGGGGAGGGCCCAGCAGGATTCCCAAAGGCCTCCACTTTCATTTGGCCCCTCTCCCCATCTTTAAGTGGAGAAAGTGACTTCCTCAAGTTTCCAGTGAGCTTGTGTTGGAGTAGGGTGATCCTTTTCCAACCCTAGACACCACCCAGCTTTGTCCAGCCCCTCTCTGATCTGCTTTCCTCTCCTTCCCCCCGCAACTCCCACCTAGCCCCTGCCCCAGGACTCCAGGATGCCCAGAAACCTCCCAAGGCCAAGCCGAGCCTCGTGAGCAGGGTTGGAACCCTGGCCAACACTCTCTCTAGACACACCTTCCAGACCACAGCCCGGGCACTGAAACAGGGCCAGGCCCTGGCCATGCGGATCCCAGGTGTGGCGCCTCTGGTGAGTGTCTGCCCCGAGTTGCCATGGCCTGGAACCCTGCGGACCTCCTGGTCCCTCCCATCCCCTATCCAATTCCACCTCCTGTCCTGAGAACATCCTGTCTTCCAGCTGGGGTGGGGGGTGGGTGGAATATTAGGTCTGAGGATAAGAGACTTTAGCTGGGGTGGAGGGCTAACCCTCTAGGGTGCAAGGGGAGAAGAGGGCAAGCCTGCTTGTTAGGATCATCCTGCCCGACCCCACCCCCTTCTGTCTCTCCCATTCTCCCTCTAGGTTCCACTCTATCCCCCAACTTTCTTGGGAGATATCAGAGACCTCCCCCCACCCATCTTCTCTGTAGGCACTAGGGAGTGTCACCTCTGAATAAGCAAGGTGCAAGGCACCAAAGCCCTCCTGTGGGGCAGAGACCCCCCAGCTGGGCCATATCCCTGATTGCCCCCAGGCTTCTGGTTTCCCTTCTAGAGGCTTCTAATTGGCATCCCACTGCACCTCTGGTAAAGTTGTCTTTTCTAGCCCCAGACAGGGCTTACTCCCCCCCACACCACACTCTCTGTGTATTTTAGCAGGGATAGCCTGGATTTTTTTCATAGAAACTTTAATAAGAAACTAAGCCCCCTGCCCCCACTAAAAAAGGAAATAAAAACATAACAGTTTAAAGGTCAGTGAACAAGATAACCACTTTTCAGCCATCATGAGGGTGGTACTTTTAAAAGCACTGTCAAACCTGGCTCATTCATTCCAGCAAATGTTTGCTGAGAGCCCACCACATGCCTGGCCCTGTAGGGAGCAGTATTTCTCCCCTGTTCCCTGCACTGGGGGTCACTTCCCCATGGGGGCTAAACTAACTCCTGCGCCCTAGCCTAGCCCATAGCGGACAGAGGCCACTCTACAGCACAACCTCAGACACCACCATTTACACAGAAAATAATGGTGTCCCCTAAGGTTGTATAACAAGGAGACTGTCTGTGGGACCCCCTGGGGGTCTGCAGTGAGCTGGGCTGTGCCTCAGCGGCACCTGCCCACCCACCCAGGCCGGTGTCCTCCCATGGGACCCTCTGGCCCACTTGATTTTTCTCACTCTTTAGTTGGAAATGCTACTATCAGCTTTACCCTTAGCTAAGAACTGGAAACAACACAAATGTCTATCAGCGGTAGAATAGGTAAATTTTGGTATATATTCAGTGGAGTGTGACACAAATGAAAAAGGAGGAACTTCTCGGTAATGTGGGTGAATCTTACAACATAACATTGAACAAAAGCTATGCATGAAAGAAAACACGTGTGAGTCCATTCACAAATGGGCAGAATTAATGCTTGGTGATGGAGGCCAGTATGTGGTCCCCTGAGGCGGTACTGACTGGGTGAGGGGCACAGAGTTTTCTGGGGTGTTGAAAATGGTCTCTATCGCATATGTTTCTAAAAATTCCCAGAGCTGTACACTAAAGCCGTGCGCACCTCGGGTGTAAGTTATCACTCCATAAAAAGGTGGAACAGTCCGCTGGGGTCAGGCCCTGCTTGCCTTCCCCTACCCTGACCCTGGGGATGCGGGGCTTTGCCTGCTGGGGCTGCCTGGCTTCTGGCAGGGGCGGTGAAGCCAGCCGACCGCCGCCTTCCCGCCCTCAGAGCAGCCTGGCCCAGTGGGGCGCGTCAGCGGCCATGCAGGTGGTGTCGCGGCGGCGGAGCGAGGTGCGGGTGCCCTGGCTGCGCAGCCTCGCGGCCGCCCGGGAGGAAAATCACGAGGACCACACGGACACTGAGGGGGAGGAGACCGAGGAGGAGGAGGAGGAGGCCGAGGAGAGCAAGCTCAGTGAGGTACGGGGGAGAGCGCAGGCCGAGGGCGTGTGCAGGAACCCCGGAGAGGGTGGGAAGCAGAGGCACGGGCTGACACAAGGCTCTCTGCCCCCAGGCCCAGGGACGTGTGCGTGGGTGCAGCCCCCTTCCCCTCACCCCTGAGCACCCGGCTCATAGTTCTCCCCGCAGATCCTCACAACAACCCCATCAAATAGGCAGGACAGAGACTGTCATCCCCATTTTGCAGATGAAGAAACTGAGGTTCAGAGCGCAGAGGTGACCTGCCCAAGAGCCAGGCCAATAGTTTTTTTTCCAATTTAGTGTCCAGATTCTTCCATCTCTAGCTCCGGGGATGGTGAGGAGGGGACGGGTCAGGGGAGTTGCTGTGGAGCCACTGACCCTGCTCTGGTCACCAGGGAGCAGCCCTGCCCGGCCCGCAGGGCCTCCTGGGCAGCGTGGCGCACACCCTGCAGAAGGCCCTCCAGAGCACCGTCTCAGTCGTGATGTGGGCACCGGCGGCTGTGCTGGCCACGGCGGGGAGGATGCTGCACCCCACGCCGGCCCAGGCCACTTCCTCAAGCAAGGGCAGGGCCATGTCCCTGTCCGACGCCCTGAAGGGTGTTACTGACAACGTGGTGGGCACAGTGGTGCACTACGTGCCGGTGAGCCCCCCACCCCCACCCCCTGAAAAGCAGATTAGGCTGAAGGGGCGACAGCGGCTCTCCCTTCCCCAGCCTCTGATCCTCGGTGCCCCAGAAACATTCTGACATCCTGTGGTTTTGACTGGGGCCCGCTGCAGCCCCAAGAATATAGAGACCGGTGTCCTTGGCCCACACCCATCCTTCCTACCTGCAGCTGTCATCAGTCATCCGTCTGGTGCCCCCAGTGGCCCAGCTGTCATCCCTCAGCTCCCAACTGAGGGGCCTGGCAGGTTTGCATGCTGCTCCCTGGGCAAGTGTTGGAGGGAGGCTTCCAGGACCCCTTGGGGGGTGGGCTGTGTTCCAGGGGACAGCAGCTGTCCCCATCCCAATTCCAATACCTGTTCCCAGCAGGAAAACCCCAGGGGGTGCCTACTATCACTTTAGGGGTCCCTGTGTCCCTTCCCAGAGCAAGTTAACAGGTCATGCAGGCACTAGAGATCTGGTCAGAGCAGGAGGCCCCTTCAAGCTGAGGGTGGGAGGGTGGGAGGGTAGGGCTGGGGAATGGGTTACTAGTCACTCATTCTCACCAAGAGGCTTAAACAGGGGTCTTGGCAGAGAGCTCTCTTCACTTTGGACCCAAAATGGAGCCAGATGTGGGTACCCTGACCCAGGCAGGGGCAAGGTGTGGGTTGTCCTTAGCTCACGGGATTGGGCCAAGGAAGGGTCAGGAAAGTCCCTGACCTCCCACTGAGGGACCTCTGAGGGGGACCCCGGGGTCCGGAAACTAGAGGGTGGCTGTCTGCCTTGCCTTGGGGGTCCGCACTTTGCACACAGGCAGGGGTGGCCGTCCTTGGCAGGTTCCCCTGCATCCTCCATCCCCGTCCCACCCCAGCCTGTGCCTTCCGGATCGCGCGTGACCGCGGGGCTGTGGGAGGTGCAGGGACAAGGGCCAAGCCGAGGGCCCTAATGTGGCTGCCGGGCCCTCAGCTCCCCAGGCTGTCGCTGATGGAGCCCGAGAGCGAATTCCGGGACATCGACAACCCTCCGGCTGAGACCGAGTGCCGGGAGGCGGAGCGCAGAGGGTCCGGGGCGCCGCCCGCCTGCCCGGAGCCCGCCCCGCGCCCTGCGCCGCCTCGCGGCAGCCTGCGGAGCACTCGGGGCCCGAGCGCGGAGGAACGGGTGGACGCGGCCACCTTGCCGCGCGCCACCTTCCCGGCCATGCCCCGCGAGAAGCCCACGCGCCGGGTTAGCGACAGCTTCTTCCGGCCCAGCGTCATGGAGCCCATCCTGGGCCGAGCGCAGTACAGCCAGCTGCGCAAGAAGAGCTGAGCCGCCTGCTCACCGCCCTCCTGGCCCGGCGCTCTCCCAGCCCCGGGCCAGGCCGCTGTCGCCAGCAGACAAACAGAACCTACGAAGAAGTGAGCGTTGGTTTCCTCAAAGTAGTCCCTTTGGGTCCCAAGCTTTGATCCTAGGATGATGCCAAGACACATCTTTTGAGCATCCTTTTTGGGCTTAGCTGTCAGAGTCCATTTTTCAGAAACATCAGAGTAGCAGTCTGCTTTGATTATAGGCCTTGGTTTTTTTTTATTTTTTTACTAAAAGATTAATTGCCTAACTTATCTCTCACTTCTTTCACCAAACTTGTGGCCCACTGATATTTAACTGTTTCCAATATTTACATCCATCCTCTGTAGACAAATATTTGCTACCAGTGAGTAACGTGTCACCACGCCAAGTGTTCAAGCAGGCGATCCTGACACATTTTCAAGCCCCAAATGCAGAGAGTCCTGTGAGTACACAGGCTCTCAGCTGACTCCTTTGAAGGGAACAGCTTGCGTGTGTGCTAAGTCGCTTCGGTCGTGTCCGACTCTTCACGACCCCATAGACTGTAGCCCGCCCAGCTCCTCTGTCCATGCGATTCTCCAGCAAGAATACTGGAGAGGGTTGCCATGCCCTCCTCCAGGGGAATCTTCTGGACCCAGGATTGATCCCGTGTCCCTTATGTCTCCTGCATTGGCAAGCGGGTTCTTTACCACTAGTGGCACCTGGGAAGCGCCTAGATAAATATTAGCGTCGTTTTCTGAGTACCCTGCCCTCTTCACAGGCTGTCCTAGCCTGTGCTCTGTAGCGCCACCTTTCTGTTCCTAGCTACATTGCCATTTGCACCGTTATGATTTTACACCTAAATGTTCACTCTTCCTTCCACGTTTTGAGTGCTGGCGCCCCCAGTCCTGGGAGACAATACAGGTTAGTTATATAAACAATATATATAGAATCTATGGCGCGTCCCCCAGTGGCTCAGTGAGAAAGAATCTACCTGCAGTGCAAGCGATACAGGTTTGGTCCCTGGGTCGGGAAATCCCCTAGAGTAGGAAATGGCAGCCACTCCAGTATTCTTGCCTGGAGAATCCCATTGACCAAGGAGCCTGGCGGGCTACAGTCCGTGGGGTCACAGTCAGACATGACTGAGGGACTGAACAACAGAATAGACCCTATAGCCACAGTTCATTCCCAAACCTATTTTTGAAAACGTTAATATTTGGCACATTTAGAAATGCATGCGTATAATTAAAATTTAAACATTGCAAAAGGGTGTGTGCTTTCCTCCCGGAGTCCCCTGGTTCCCCTTTCCCAGACAGTCTTGGCAGCAGTCTTGTGTGCCCTTTCCATCACAGACTGAGGGTGCACAAGCGCACGTGTATACCCACCCCACTCCGTTCATACACGCTGTGGGGTGTTATACTCACTGCTGTTTCACTCAGCAATACATCTTAGAAATCTTTTTGTAAGCAGTATTGTAAACCCTCCTTGCTCTTTTTAACAGCCACATAGTAAGTGCTTCATAATATAGACATGCTATAATTGATTAAACCAGTTCCTTAATCATGCACTTTTCTGTTATTTCCATTTTTTTTCCTCCCAGGAACAGGGCTGCAATAAATATCTTTATACAACAATGTTTCATGTAGATGTGTGCATGTATCTATAGGGTAAATTTATAACTCGAAACCATGACATGTTGAGTGAAAGAACACATTCATTTAGAAATACTGATAGGTGGTACAGTGGATAAGAATGTGCCTGCCAGCGCAGGGGACATGGATTCGATTTCTGGTGCAGGAAGATCCCACCTGCCATGGGACGTGGGACATGTGTATCCAACAAGTCCATGTGCCACAATTACTGAGCTCGTGCTCGAGAAAGCCCTGCCTCCCAAGTGCTGCAGCTACTGAAGCCTGTGCCCCTAGAGCCCCTGCTTCACAACAAGCGAGGCCACCAGAATGAGACCCCCGAGCGCTCAAGAAAGAGCAGCCCCCTCACCGCAGCTCGAGAAAGCCTGTGCAGCAGAAAAGGCCCCAAACAACCAAAAATAAATTCTAAATAAGAGAAAATACTGATAGGTAATGCCAAATAGCTTTCCAAACCGAACTCGGTTTTCCTTGTTATTGTCATCTGTACTTGCACAGGTAATTCTGACATTTCTGTCCATCCTTTCCAACATCTGTATACACACGCTCATCCCCTCACCCCCCTCAGACACATGAGCACCCTCTTGGCCTCCACTCTGTCGCACACCTGAGTCCAGCTCCCTGACACTGACTCTGGACCCTGGCAGATATTTGGTGTAATGAGTCGTTGGCCTTGATCCATGGTTTTGGAATCTGGGGATGTCCAGAATGAGGAGAGGGGAGTGTTGATGGACATACACAGGTGGACATGGTCAGGACCTTGAATTAGCTTTGGGATCAAGCTCACCCATCTCACCCCCCACCTCACCCTCTCCCCCTACCTCACGCTCACAATCCACACCACACTCAGCAGTTTCCTGGGGGGGGGGGGGGTGTGGATCTGGCAAGTGGGGCCTTTAGAAGCTGATATGACATGGCTAAAGAGACAGTCCAGCCTAGCCCTGGCAGGGCCCCTGTGGGCAGCTGTAGGAGACCTGGCCTCGGGCCTGCTGGTGTAGATAGAAACACTCAGCTATCCTGGGCATCACCTGCCCGCACAGCCTTCTTCCTGGAGCTCCGTAATCCACACTGCTGTCTGTTCTTCCATAGTCCTGGGGTCCCTCTTGCCAGGAGAGCCATAGAAGTCAACACACCCACTGGCCAGACCCAGACCCCTCACCCTGTCCTGGATCCCAACCAGGGTGCTGGGAACCAGCATATGGCATATGACAGCCCAGGAGGCAAACAACATGTCCACAAAATTCTGTTTTTATCATTAAACTGATAGCAAAGTGCTCTGAGCCTGGCCCTCAGTCTTTCTGAATACTTTCTGGTGAGAAATGAGAGTGAAGCATCTCCTCTAAATGACAGAAATTTGCTTCATTGGCTCCAGGTTGGATGTGGGGCTTTTCTCCTGAGAGACATCAGTTTGGCTGGCTTTCCTGCTCATGGCGTATGACGACTCACCCACATTCTGGACCTCAGGATTACCTCCCCTTCACACTGGGATGCCAAGGTTGCTATCCAGAGAAATACATCGTCCCCTCTCTTCTATTGCGGCTCACAAAATGCACCTCCAACTGAATCACAGTTTTGGAGATGGAAAAACAGCCGTTTCACTTAATAACATACATTCAACATGCTTTTTTTCGGTCTGTGTTGGGTCTTCTCTGTGGTTCTCAGGCTTATTGCCATGGCTTCTTCTGGTGCAGAGCACAGGCTCTAGGGTGCACGTGCTTAGTTGCTTCCTGGCATGTGGGATCTTCCTAGACCAGAGATCGAATGCATGTCAGTCGAATGCAGGCAGAGGATTCTTAACCACTGGACTACCAGGGAAGTCCTACAACTTGGGTTTTAATGCTCATTGTATTAAGCATGGTTTTCCTAAACATTGAAACTTGGTGGTATATTGGAGAAGACAAGTCAAATATGGCTTGAGTGGTGGGGTGGATGGTGCGGGGCATGCTGGAAGAGATATTTGAGGGCGGTTTCCTGGACAGCACCTGCTCAGGTAGATGCAGGATGAACCCCCCTGCAGGATTTCCAGTGGCTGTTCACCGACAGAATTGCCTCCCCACTGGAGAGGCTGGTTAAGAACTCTGTGGCAGCCCCCACCTCCCGTTAGACTCTTCTAGGGCCAGTTGTCCAGCCAGGAACCCAAGGCTGGGTGGCAGTATGGTCCACCAGTGGATCCCATGCCCATTCCAAACTGGGGACTATGAGCCAGAACTGTGGGGTCAGGATTTCGCAGGCCATCCTGCTCTCTGCCCAGCTAGCTAGAAGGCCTGAACAGGAGCGCTCTCGTGTTTTCATCCATCCACCCCTAGGTCACCCCAGCTCTGGGGCTGAGAAGGGACCCAGCAATGACTTCCTGGTGTGAGTGCCCAGGGTAAAACCAGGGCCTCTGCTACACCATCCCAACCCCGAATATCTCAGAGGGGATGAGTCCTTTTCAGATTTAGAAGAGGTAGCGAAATCAGAGGAAAACAAGGCTGGAGGCTTCCTAGGGTCTAGGAAGGGAGAAGTACATCATGAGAAATGCTGGGCTGGAAGAAGCACAAACTGGAATCAAGATTGCCAGGAGAAATATCAATAACCTCAGATATCCAGATGACACCACCCTTATGGCAGAAAGTGAAGAGGAACTAAAAAGCCTCTTATGAAGCTGAAACTCCAATACTTTGGCCGCCTCATGCGAAGAGTTGACTCATTGGAAAAGACCCTGATGCTGGGAGGGATCGGGGGCAGGAGGAGAAGGGGACGACAGAGGATGAGATGGTTGGATGGCATCACCAACTCGATGTACATGAGTTTGAGTAAACACCAGGAGTTGGTGATGGACAGGGAGGCCTGGCGTGCTGCGATTCATGGGGTCGCAAAGAGTCGGAGACGACTGAGCGACTGAACTGAACTGAACTGAGGGAGAGCTTTGCTGAGCTTTGACGGGGCGTGGGGAGGGCTGCGATAGAAAGGAATGGGGAAAGTCTCTGCACGAGAATGAACAATCGAACTACAGTAGTTGATTTTTAGTTAGCGTTAGTCGCTCAGTCGTGTCCGATTCTTTGCGACCCCATTATCTGTAACCCGCCAGGCTCCTCTGTCCATGGGATCCCAGGCAAGAATACTGGAATGGGTTGCCATTTCCTCCTGCAGGAATTGATTTCTAGGCCACTGTTAACCGGAGTCTCAGGGTTAGAAAATGCTCGTGGAACCAAACTTGTCTCCTAGTTCGTTTTCATTCATCACTTGTTACAACTTGCATCATAAACCCAGATGCCCCGCTCCACGAGCTGGTGGGCTTCTCCAGCTCGGAGAATCCGGGCGGCCTTGTTGGTTGCCGCGCCCCCAGCATTCGGCGAGTAGATGCTAATATCAGCGCGCCGCGCTCGCGACTGGGGGCGGTGCTGGGGGTCGAGGGGCCCGTGGTCCTGCCCGGGCCACGCCCGATTCCCCGCCCCTCCGGCCCCCGCTCCGCCCCGTCTGCGGACAGACTCAGCGGCGCCGCGCAGCCCGCGCCTCCGCCCCGGAGCGCCCAGGCGGGAGGAGTTGCGGACGTGGGGCGGGATGTTTTGGTGGGCGGGGGTCCCGGTGACGGCATCCGACCGCGCCGCGCTGGGGCTCAGAGCCTCAGTGCCCGGCTTGGGGACGACGCGCGCACCCCAGCAGGTGGGTGTGGGCTGGGAAGGGGTGGAGGTCTAGGACGCGGGTGGGAGGGAGGAGGCGCGCGCTCGCCCCTTCCCTGTGCAGGCCTGGGTTGGGTGGCACTGGGCGTCGGCGCCCCGGGGACCCTTGACCGAGCACGAGGACCACTCCTTCCCTCCCCATCTTTGCTAACCTCCTCCAGGCCCCTCTCCGAGTGGATCGGTTACTCTCCTTCCTTAAATCGGGGCCTGAGGCCGGCATTCCGAGCCTGACCAGCAGGAGCGAGCACCCACGCTGCGAGAGTCGGGTTCGCCTTTGTAACCACTTCTCCCAACTTTCTCCTGTCCCGTGCCCGGCGCCTCCGACTCCGGAACTCTCGGTGTTGTCCGGGCGCCTTCGGTGCGCAGAGCACTGGGCCCCGAGCCCGGGCGCGGAGAAGCCGGGACCGCGGGGCTGGAAAAGCTATGGCTGAGGGATGCCCGAAGGCGCCCGTAGTATTGCGTGGCAGTTACCGCTGAGGCCCCAGGGCCGGACACCCAGCTGGGACTGATGATTGAAGGAACGAGCGAACGATTACAGGTGCTGAGAGAAGTAGTGAAAAATAAAGAGATGTGACCCTGGGGGTGGGGGCGAGGAGTGGGGATGGGGAAAGTTCCCTGGATGTAAACTACTCATCACTGTTCGGCGGCTACTCAGCGTCGGACCTTGTGCTGGGTGCTGGAGATACAGCATGAAGGGAACAGGCGGGTCCCTGCCTCCCAGCCCCCAGTTTGGAAGGTGAGGGGAGACCAATGGATAATCCGGCTTTTGCAAGGAAAGGGAGCGGTCAGTGACTGATGGGAGAACTAAAGCCGTGGTTGTGGGTGGGTGGTGGGGGCCAAACATCAGACGCTCCTCCTTGGAGGGGAGGGCGCTCCCTGGAGGTGGGACTAACAACAGCTGAGTGTGCTGCAGGCAGAGAAAGGTTAGAAAATGTGGGGTATTAGGGGGTAAGTCATCAAGGTAGGTAAGGCCCATTAAAAGTTGTTTTTCTTATTAAGGTTTTGAATCTAGAGCATTAGGGAACCCCTTTTGCCTCTTTTGGGGGCATTTTAAGTAGGAGAGTGGGTGGCTGCATTTGCATTTTTGAACAATGCCCCTGGTTGCCACAAAGGAAGGTGCAGGGAGGCTGAAGCCAGTGAGGAGGTTGGTAAATATTCTGTCCAGTGGGCAGGATCCGGGCTTGGGTAATAGGATGGAGAGAAGCAGGTGTACTTGATATTTAGGAGATGGAATTAGCAGTATCTGATGGTGGGGGCTTGGCCTCAAAGGATGTGCTGACTCTCTTTAAGAAGGTGGAGCGGGGAATGTGCTGTGACAAAGGCAGTCAGTTCAGTCATTCAGTTGTGTCCGACTCTTTGCCACCACATGGACTGCAGCACATCAGGCTTCCCTGTCCTTCACTAACTCCTGCTGTTTACTCAAACTCATGTCCATCGAGTCAGTGATGTCATCCAACCATCTCATCCTCTGTCATCTCCTTCACCTCCCACCTTCAATCTTTCCCAGCATCAGGGTCTTTTCTAATGAGTCAGTTCTTTGCATCAGGTGGCCAGAGTTTTGGAGTTTTAGCTTCAGCATCAGTCCTTCCAATGAATATTCAGGACTGATTTCCTTTAGGGTAGACTGTTTGGATCTCCTTGCTGTCCGAGGGACTCTCAAGAGTCTTCTCCAACACCATAGTTCAAAAGCATCAATTCTTCAACACTCAGCTTTCTTTATAGTCCAACTCTTACATCCATACATGACTACTGGAAAAACCATAGCTTTGACTAGACAGGCCTTTGTTGGCAAAGTAATGTCTCTGCTTTTTAATGTGCTGTCTAGGTTGGTCATAGCTTTTCTTCCAAGGAGCAAGCATCTTTTAATTTCATGGCTGCAGTCACCATCTGCAGTGATTTTGGAGCCCAAGAAAATAAAGTCTGTCTGTTTCCACTGCTTCCCCATCTATTTGCCATGAAGTGATGGGACCAGGTGGCATGATTTTAGTTTTCTGAATGTTGAGTTTTACGAAGGCAGGGACAATGGGTGGGTGTTGGGGAAAAGAGATCCTTGTGCAGTGCTGCTTGTGTGTGTCTTCTAGGAGATGGGGTCCCAGCGGGAACACAGATGCCCTTGGGTGTCGAGTGGAGGAGTTAGGGCCTCATTTGGTCAGTGATGGGAGCCATGAAATGCTACCGTGTAGGATTCTGTTGTGTCCCTTGCAGCATCTGGGCATCAGGTCGTGGCACAGAGGGTGTTTTGAATTTTGACCACCTTCCCTTTTAATCACTCCAAGATCAGGAGCCGCAGGAACTGGCTCCAGGTCACCTTCAAGGTGAGTCCAGGTGCTGATGACCAGGGCCTCTTCCTCTCTCCGCAGGACTGGAAGCAGCAGCCTCTCAACATGGGACTGGAGGCCCAGAGGCTGCCAGGGGCCGAGGAGGCCCCTGTGAGGGTGGCCCTGCGAGTCCGCCCCCTCCTTCCCAAGGAGCTGCTGCACGGGCACCAGGGCTGCCTGAGGGTGGAGCCGGGGCACGGCCGGGTCACCTTGGGCCGAGACCGCCACTTCAGCTTCCACGTGGTGCTGGATGAGGACGCCGGGCAGGAGGCAGTGTACCAGGCCTGTGTGCAGCCCCTCCTCGAGGCTTTCTTTGAAGGCTTCAATGTCACCGTCTTTGCCTACGGTCAGACGGGCTCCGGGAAGACGTACACCATGGGAGAGGCCAGTGTGGGTGAGTGACCTGGCTTGAGACCGCCTGCCCTTGTTGAGGGGCCTCAAACTTCTCCTGAATTTCTGCCTCTGCCATTTCCTGTTGAAGATGAGGAGGCTGGAGGAGGGAGGGCGGGTTTCCTAAGTAGATCTGCAGCCCAGGTAGGATCAGCTGTGTCACTGGGCTGGGTTGGGCAGGAAGAAGAGTCCTCGGAGGTGAGTGGCCTTCTCAAGTCCATAGAGATGGGATCATACTGTCTGGTTCTGGGGAACTCACCGGGAGGAAGGGCATGGGAAGTTGTCTTGTCTCTGGAGGTTGTCAGGATCGTTGTCAAGGGTCAGGATGGCTGGAAGGGAGACTGTCCTGGAAGAGACGTGCTCCCGGGGCTGCATAGCGGGGAAGCAGGCTGGTTCCATGAGGCTCTGGAGCAGAGTTTTGCAAGAGATGCTTTGGGCCAATTGAAGGGATTGGCCTGCTTCTAAGGAGCATGATTTGAAAAGTGTACATGTTTGTTGTAGAAAATTAGGAAAATACAGAAAAACACATCCACAAAAGAAAACTTATTTGATAACTGCCTTTCCCTGGTAGCTCAGATGGTTAAGAATCTGACTGTAGAAAAAGAGACTCAGATGTATAGAACAGACTTGTGGACTCTGGGANACTTCAGTATTCTTGCCTGGAGAATCCCATGGACAGTGGAGCCTGGTGGGCTGCAGTCTGTAGGGTTGCAAAGAGTTGGACGCAACTGAGCGACTAACACTTTCACACTTTCTGATAATTGCCTTTCAGAAATCACTCACCCTGTTAGCATTCAGTTTTTCCTGGTGAAAATTTTTATACTTAAAAAAATATGGTACCAATATACTATTCTTTTGTATCCTGTTTTATTTTCTTAACAATATATTAATATCATGAATATTTCTCTGTATCATTAATTGTTATTCAAGCAAAAACTTTAATGGCTGCTTAGCGTGCCATTGTGAATATAAGGTAATTTATTTAATCAAACCCCTTCTTGGATGTTGCAATGGACACTGAGGGTGTTTATGTTGTTTTTTTTTTTAAGTTATGAGGAAGAGTGTGTTCTGAACATCCTTTTATCACTTCCTTGGGATAAATTTAGGGGCTTCTTTAGATAACTGAGCATAGACTATGATAATGAGTCCCCAGGAGTCATCAAACAAAGGGTATCTGACTGACTGGCAGGGATGTGGTGGAGATGCTTACGTCATGAAAGTGGTTGGTTGAACCTTGAGAGGTTGCTTCCAACTCTGAAATTCTGCCTGAGCACCCTGGAGCCTGGCCTGGATCAGGCTGCCCAGCCCATGCTGGCCTCTGCCTCTGCCTTCTCCACACTGGAGCTCCATCTGCCAGCTTCATGGCAGGTGGCCCTGCGGTGTCTCCCCAGCCTCCCTTCACGAGGACGAGCAGGGCATCATCCCACGGGCCATGGCCGAAGCCTTCAAGCTGATTGATGAAAATGACCTGTTGGACTGTCTGGTACATGTGTCCTACCTGGAAGTGTACAAGGAGGAGTTCCGAGACCTGCTGGAGGTGGGCACCGCCAGCCGGGACATCCAGCTCCGGGAGGACGATCGTGGGAATGTTGGTGAGGAACTCCTGGGTCCTACCCTGGTTGGGAGTGGGGAGCCTGGCTTGGGGAGGCTTCACCTGCTTAGGGTGGATCCCCTGTCTGGAGGGGGGTACCTCCTAACTAGGAAACTCAAGCTCTGGGAAGTTTTGCTTTCATTTCCCTGTCTCTGCTGAGTTTAGTATTCACTGGTGTATCCAGAGTGAGAGTCACTGAGGTGGGCATGGGGGAAGCTGAAAAAAAAAGTGTTAGTCGCTAAGTCATGTCCGACTCTTTGCAACCCCATGGATTGTAGCCTGCCCAGCTCCTCTGTCCATGGAATTCTCCAAACAAGAATACTGGAGTGCGTTGCTATGCCCTCCTCCAGGGGATCTTCCCAACCCAGGGATACGAACCCTGGTCTCCTGCATTGCAGGCAGATTCTTTACCATCTGAACCACCAGGGAGGAAGCTGGAGCTCCTTAAATCCCCAAGCAGGATGGGCCAGACCCCTTGGGCATGCAGAAGGGGCCCTGAGTCAGGAAGAGCTGTAGAGAAGCAATCCTGCGCAGCCTGCCCTCCGGGCTGACCAGCCTCAGGCTGCCCTGCCTTGGGCTCACAGCCTTCTGTGCCCGCAGTGCTGTGTGGGGTGAAGGAGGTGGACGTGGAGGGCCTGGACGAGGTGCTGAGCCTCCTGGAGATGGGCAACGCAGCGCGGCACACGGGAGCCACACACCTCAACCGCCTCTCCAGCCGCTCCCACACCATCTTCACTGTGACCCTGGAGCAGCGGGGTCGCGCCCCCAGCCGCCTGCCCCGACCTGCCGCCGGCCAGCTGCTTGTCTCCAAGTTCCACTTTGTGGACCTGGCGGGCTCAGAGAGGGTGCTCAAGACAGGCAGCACAGGCGAGCGACTCAAGGAGAGCATCCAGATCAACAGCAGCCTCTTGGCGCTCGGCAACGTCATCAGTGCCCTGGGTGATCCCCAGCGCCGGGGCAGTCACATCCCTTACCGGGACTCCAAGATCACCCGGTGAGCTGCCACTGCTGCTAGCCCAGGGAAAAGAGGCCCGTGAGCCCCCTAGTCTGTCCTAGTTCCTGTCCGGCCTCTCTGGCTGGGGTGAGGCGACAAGAGATGGGCCCCCCTCTGATTTCTGGGGCGCAGTCTACACGTGGTTGAAGTCTCAGGCCCACAGGGAGCCATACAGAGATTCATACCCTCTTTGGGGTCTGAACCTCTGGCTCTGGCACTTTGGGGCCTCTGACGCATCTCCCTGGCGCCCTCAGGATCCTCAAAGACTCCCTGGGCGGGAATGCCAAGACGATGATGATAGCCTGCGTCAGCCCTTCCTCCTCCGACTTTGACGAGACCCTCAACACCCTCAACTACGCCAGCCGCGCCCAGAACATTCGCAACCGCGCCACTGTCAACTGGCGGCCCGAGGCTGAGCGGGGGCCGGAGGAGGCAGTGGCTAGCGCCCGGGGGCCACCTAGGCATCGGTCGGAGACGCGCATCATCCACCGGGGCCGGCGCGCCCCGGGTCCTGCCGCCGCCTCCGCCGAGCCTCCGGGCCCGACAGCGGCATCGAGAGTGCCTCTGCTGAGGAGCAGGCCACCCAGGGACCCGGCGGGCGAAAGGTGACCAGGGGCCGGGTGTGGCCTGGGGGTGGGGGAGGGGAGGTGAGGAAGAAGGTTTTCCATACAGGGATTCAGAGGCATTTCTGCTGATGACCTTGATGTATCTGTTAAATAAAGATAACAGGAGTATCTACCTCCTTGGGATATAAGGACTGAGGGTGTCATAAGTGCTGATGAAGGCTAGTTCTTAATAATAGTGGTGGTGATATTACTGTTAATGAAAACATGATTAATAATGACAAGAGATAGCCCAATGGTTTGTGGAGGGGACTGCAGGCCATGTGGGGTCCGGACCCCCTCCCCGTTGCAGGCAAGCTTTGGAGCAGAGTAGCAGGCAAGGCCGGCGGGGTGACTCAGGGACAGGCAGTCTCGCCCTGACTGTTCCCCTGAAGCTGCTCTCCCTGCCCACCTAGGAAGATGAGGGGCCGCTGCAACTGCTGGCCCTGCAGAGCCAGGTGGCCCGGCTGGAAGAGGAGAACCGAGACTTTCTAGCTGCGTTGGAGGACGCCATGGAGCAGTACAAACTTCAGGTGGGGCGCCCCCTCCCGTACAGATGGTGGGGAGGGGGGACTTCTGCCGGAGGCGAAACAGCTGTGTCAGAGTGAGAGAAGTGGGTTCTGGCAGGATGGGTAGAGATGCGAGCAGAAGTGCGGAGGGAAGGAACAGATTGGTGCAAGTGGATGTGCGAGGGTGGGTTGGAATTGGGACTGGAGGGGCAGCCCCATGAGACTCCTGAGCCCTGCTCTTCCTTTTGTGCAAAGATGACCGGGTCGACGTTGCTCCTAGCGCCCCCTGGTGGCAGTGAGTGGCATGAATATGGAGGGAGTGATAGATGGGGCAGGGTCGGTTCAGTCAGTCAGTCTGTCCGGCTCTGCGACTCCATGGACTGCGGCACACCAGGCCTCCCTGTCCATCACCAACTCTTGGAGCCTGCTCAAACTCACGTCCATCGAGTCGGTGATGTGACGGGGTGGGAGAGTTTAAACCAGAACTAATACACCTTGTGTTCCAGAGGGACACCAAGAGGTGGTCAGAGGTATTTGGCCCTCCTTCACTTTAACACAGAGAGGGCATGGTGGTCTCAGACATGTTCTTCGTTTTCTTGCACTTCTGCCTGTCGGTACCCCGGTACCCCACCTCTCTCTCATCCGCGTCTCCCATCAGCACCTGGATCGTGTCTTGCAGAGCGACCGTCTTCGTGAGCAGCAGGAGGAGATGGCAGAGTTGCGACTGCGGCTGGAGCTGGTGCGGCCAGGCTGGGGGGCCCCAGGGATCTTGCAGGGCTTGCCTCCTGGGTCTTTTGTGCCCCGGCCTCACACAGCCCCCCTGGGAGGTGCCAACACCCACGTGCTGGGCATTATGCCCCCCACCTGCATTCCTGGAGATGAAGTTGGCCCTGAAAACAGGGGAGAGGTAAGAAGGTGGCAAGGCTGGGTGTCTGCTGGTTGACTTGGGCAGGCTGAGGCAGGGTAGGGGCAATCCTGGGGAATGTGTCACTCACCTCGTGCTTTCACGGGACCAGCTATGAGATGCCCCTTTCTGGTGTTCCTGGAGGAATGGCCCAAATTTGGGTTGGGCCTCTCAGAAGGATCTGGTGCCATGGAGTATCCTTGGAGTAGTTGGAGATTGCTTGGAGTGAGGATTACAGAGGGGGTTCTGCCTTCTGGTATGGGATGGAATGCTTGCCTCCGTCCAGGGGTGGGGAGCTCATCACCTCTGAAGTCACCCCCGCCACCACGCACCACCTTTGGATGCCTTCCTCTGCAAGTTCACTTTTCCATGGGCTCTGTTCTCCTTGCATTTGGTCTCTTGTTTCTAGTTCTGTCACTTGGGGCCTTTTGGACAAAGGCTGCTCCTGCATCTGTCTGAAAGCTCTGGGTCATCTGATCTCTAAAGATCAGAGGGACCGAGGGGTGGGAGGACATGGGTTTGGAAGAAGCCTGTTACAGACCCCCTCCACCCCCAACCCTGGTGGGGCATTGTTGGTGAGATAAGACTTGCTGCAGATGACTTATATACAAGATGGAAAGGGGAGATTGTCCCCTGAGGAGTGCCAGTTTTGCTACGGGAGCCAGAGCAGTGTAGGGGCAGTGGTTGGACAAGAGAACAGGAGGGGTAGAGGAAGGAACAAGGGAGGAGGGGAGAAGTTTCTGCTCCATCTTGAGTTTGGAAAGACCTCTCAGATATCATTGGAGCTAGATCCTAAGGTAAGGTCAGGCTTGAAAAGGCAGAGATGTAAGGAGCACGCATGGTGGCCAAAGACTGGGTTAGGGGAGATGGCTGCTGGAGAAGGCCCTAGGAGCCTGTCCTGAAACCCTGGCATTTCCCAGCAGATGAAAAATGGCAGGGAGGCTGGAGCCAAGTTTCTGACAGAGGGAGAAATGCTGGGAAGTGGCTCTTCAGATGCATCAGAGGAAGAAGAGGAGGGGGAGAAGGAGGGGCCGCCCCGACAGAGCCTGCGCCCACGAAGGTGAGTGGGACCCGTGGCCCACCAGACAAGGACCAGCTCAGGGCCTCAGCTGGGCAAGAGTGGTCCCACTGTGGTCTCAGGGTGCCCCTGCCTCCATCACCCTGGCCAGCCCTTGGGGGAGAGTGGGCAGCGGCTGTGGGCTCTGAATCAGGCATTCTCGCTGTGGCGGGTGTGCTGAGGGATGGACCCGGCCTCCTGGTTCTCGGCCTCTAAGGTGGCCCTCGGTGTCCTCAGCTGCCCTGTACCCTCTCAGCTCAGCCGCTGGCCTCAGTTCTGCCAGACAGACATCCTGGGGTCACAGTGACCCTGGGTGATGGAAGGTCTGGGGTTCTCTCTTCCCCTCCCGGGCCTGGGAGATGGCTGGGCTGGGGCAGGGCTGGGGAGGGGTACAGACTCCCCTTCTGCCCTCCAGGAATGGGATCAGCAAGTGGAACCAGAGGACGGGGGCCTGCCCAGGGAGTCCACTCAACAGGAAGGGCCCAGAGCTTCGCCTGGAGGAGCTGGGTGCAGCTATCCCAGGACCCAGAGGTGAGCTGGGTGGGATGCAAAGAGGGTCCCGACCCCTTTACCCATTCATGGTCCTGGACTGGCCACCCCGGAGAGTCCACATAACCATCCCTGGATGCCCCTGGCCAGGGCATTTCTCCCCTTCCCTCCCTTCCACCCACCCCTGCTTCCCCCACTATCTGTTGCGGCAGCCGCCCTGACCATCAGCCCGTTACAGTGGTCGGTGGGAGCAAGGCCCTGGCTCAGCCCCGCCAGGTCTCCGCAGCCATGGCCTCTGAGTGGCGACTGGCCCAAGCCCAACAGAAGATCCGTGAGCTGGCCATCAACATCCGCATGAAGGAGGAGCTCATTGGCGAGCTGGTGCGCACAGGTGAGGGAGGGGCTTTGGGCTGGGCCTCCAACCTGAGGGTGGGTGGTTAGGAGCAGGGTCCAGATGACCTAGGTTTGCCCACTCAGCTTCTTCCAGATGGGTGACCTTGAGCAGGTAGGATAACCGCTGTGTGCTCTGAAATGGAGATAGTAACTGCACCTGTTTTATAGGTTGTTGAAATGAGTTAATTCAGGTAAAATGCTTAGACTAGTTTGCAGGAAGCGTTATTTCTTACTGTTATTAATCAGTTGCCCGCTGTGTGTCAGACACTGCACGAGGCACAGAATCTCCTGGTCCTGGGGAGCAAACAGTGTCCCCCAGTCAGAGTAGTATGTCTGCTACTGGGGACACAGGCGAACGAGCAGGGGATGGTTTCAGGTGGTGACTGGTCAATCTTTTTAATTTTAATAGCTGTGAGTTTATTTCAAAATGTATTGGGAACAATTGCAGACAGACATGAGAGTCCCTACATAGTCATCATTCAGATTTAGTATTTCCAAGCTTGGCCCACATTTGCTTCATCGCTCCCTTTTTTCTTTGCTGGTATTTTTTGTTCTTAATTTATTCTTATTGGCTGTGCCAGATCTTTGGTTGCAACATGCAAACTCATTATTAGCTGTGGCGTGCCAAATCTAGTTCCCTGACCAGGGATTGAACCTGGGGCCCCTGAATTGGGAGCATGGAGTCTTAGGCATTGGACCGCCAGGGAAGTCCTTTTTTGCTGAAATATTCTGAAGCAAATCTGAGACTTCATGTCATTTCATTCCTGCACCTTTCAGTATGCCTTTTTGGATATTTTAACCAAAATGTCATTAGCATATCTAACTAAACTAATGCCCTCAGTGCTGAGAATAGAAGCAGTTCTTCAACAGTGTCTGTGTGCAGCTCTGTTCTTGTCCATACATTTGCTCATTGGGTCTCAAAAATCCCCCCTCTCACACCTGCACAGTCATCCTGTAGGATGTTCCAGATCCCAGATATTCTGGGTTTGTCTGTTAACTTCCTTGTGGTGTCATTTAGCTTGTTCCTTTGTCCTATAGCCTACAAATGGAAGTTAGTTCTAGAGGCTTAGTTGTATGCCGGCTCAAGTTACAGATTTATTTTAGCATGTGTTAGGTAAAAAGAAAACTAGTTAACCCATAATTTCCCTGGGTCACTGCTATGGAGAAGGCTATTTTAAAAAATAAGTCAAATTAAAAGTAGTAAATGTTCACAGTACTGAGGGGAACAGAGTCATTGTGAAGTCCTTGTAGGTGTTGGGGGCTGGCAGAGGTCCGGGAAAGCCACTGGGGAAGGAGCTGCAATGCTTCAGGGAGAGGCCACCGGTGCTGACTGCACCCCGGTTCTTCCAGGGAAGGCTGCCCAGGCCCTGAACCGTCAGCACAGTCAGCGCATCCAGGAGCTGGAGCGGGAGGCGGAGCGGGTGCGGGCTGAGCTGAGCGAGGGCCAGAGGCAGCTGCGGGAGCTCGAGGGCAGGGAGCCCCAGGACGCCGGTGAGCGCTCGCAGCTCCAGGAGTTCCGCAAGAGGGTTGCCGCCGCTCAGAACCAAGTGCAGGTCAGTGTCAGGACCCCGGGTGTGGTGGCTGCAGCCTCCCAGGTTGGAGTCCTGGAATCAAGACATGTGTGAGCTCCGGAGCTCACGCCCACTGTGGAACCAGGGGGTGCCCCAGCCCCGGCTGGTGGTGCGAACGCCCTCCTGGCCTTCCAGAGTGAGGCTGGTATTAGGTAGGAGCTGGCGGTGCTGGGGATCTTTAAACACAGCAGAGGTAAAGGTGTGGATGTGGGCCCTGCCTGAAGACCACCTTAGGAGACCAGAGGATGAGGGAAGGGAATGGGAAGAAACCAACCCTCCCTCCTGTAGACCTCCCCTCCCTCCATATGTCTACCCTTCCAGCTATCTGTTCATCCATCCCTCCAGCCCATCATCCCTCTGTCCATTCACCCACCAGTCCAGGTGTCTGTCTAATCCATCCATCTAGTTATCCTTTTATCAGTTGATATGACTATTTATGTGTCTGTTCGTCTTTCTATTTCTGTTTATTGATCCTTGCATTGTCTGTCTGTCCTGTTTTTTAATTTTTTTTTTAATTTTTATTTGGCTGCACTGGGTCTTAGTTGCAGCATGCAGGATCTTTAGTTGTCACACAGGATTCTTTTAGTTGTAAGCTATGTGGGATCTAGTTCCCTGAGGAGGGATCAAACCCAGGCTCCCTGCACTGGGAGCTCAGAGTCTTAGCCACTGGACCACGAGGGAAGTCCCCTGTTTTTTAGCTTTATATGATCGCATCATCTGTCTATCCACCCACCCTTCCATCCATTCATCTTTGCACCTGTCCCTCCACTATAGTAGAGTGATTAAGAGCGAAGGTTCAGGAGTCTTGACTGTTTGCGTTTGAATCCCAGCTCTGCCATTTACTAGCTGTGGGTCCTGGGTCAAGTTTCCTAACCTTTCTGTACCTCAGTTTCCTAATCTGTTAAGTAGGAAACCTTTACAGTCATTTTGTAGGTTTGTAAGGATCACTTAATATACTGAGAGCACTTGGTGTACTGTGTTATGTAGTAAATGTCACAGTATTTTGACATTTTTATAATTTGCTATTTTTATTAGTCTAGTGTCCGTTGGCCTGTTTTCCCTTCTCTCTGTCCCTCTTCATCGTCCTTCTGTCCTGCCCATCCTTGTTGAGTGCCAGGCGCCATGCCTGGCTCTTAGCAGCTGCCGTGAGCGGCCCAGTGGAAGCTATGTTGGTCCAGGTACTGAAGGAGAAGAAGCAGGCGACGGAGCGGCTGGCATCACTGTCGGCCCAGAGCGAGAAGCGGCTGCAGGAGCTGGAGAGGAACGTGCAGCTCATGCGGCAGCAGCAGGGGCAGCTGCAGAGGCGGCTTCGAGAGGAGACAGAGCAGAAGCGACGCCTGGAGACGGAGATGAACAAGCGGCAGCACCGTGTCAAGGTCGGGTGCTTGGCTGGCGCGGTGCCTGCGTCCCAGCCAGGAGGCCGGGGAGGGTGTACCGCCACGTGACTGTAGAAGGCTGGTCACGTGGCCTCTCTGAGTTTGTTTCTTCCCTTGAAAATGAGAGTTATAGGAAACTCAGGGCTAGGATGAGAATTCAGTGAGATGAACCAGATAAGGGGTCCAGCAATCTTGTGTTTGCTTCAGCTGGTGGGCCCCCAGCGGAACTTGAAGGTGGCGAGGCTGGGGGTTGCTGCGCAGGGTTGTCTTGGGAGTGGGGCAGGCACTCCTGTGGGCTTTGGGGATTGCAGGCTCTGGGAGGACACTGGTACCCCACAGGGCCCTGCCCTCCGAACTCACACTGAACTTCATGCCCAGGAGCTGGAGCTGAAGCATGAGCAACAGCAGAAGATTCTGAAGATCAAGACAGAAGAGATCGCGGCATTTCAGAGGAAGCGGCGCAGCGGCAGCAATGGCTCCGTGGTCAGCCTGGAGCAGCAGCAGGTGGGGTCTGGGCTGAACCGTACCCCCAGGGGCACCCGCAGCCTGGCCGGGCAGCCTGGCCAGTTGCCAGAGTGCCCTGCGGGGTCAGCTGGTGGGCGCGTCATTCTCTGCCTCTGAGCCTGGTGGCATCCACACCACCCACATGGCCAGAGGGGAGAGCTGAGTTCCCTCCCGCCTCCCCTGCTGTCCCTCAGAAGATTGAGGAGCAGAAAAAGTGGCTGGACCAGGAAATGGAGAAAGTCCTGCAGCAGCGGCGGGCGCTGGAGGAGCTGGGGGAGGAGCTCCACAAGCGGGAGGCCATCCTGGCCAAGAAGGAGGCCCTGATGCAGGAGAAGACGGGGCTGGAGAGCAAGCGCCTGCGGTCCAGCCAGGTGAGGTCCTGCCAGGTGAGGTCCAGCCAGGTGAGGTCCTGCCAGGTGAGGTCCAGCCAGGTGAGGTCCTGCCAGGTGAGGTCCAGCCAGGTGAGGTCCTGCCAGGTGAGGTCCTGCCAGGTGAGGTCCAGCCAGGTGAGGTCCTGCCAGGTGAGGTCCAGCTGGGTGAGATCCTGCCGGGTGAGGCCCAGCCGGGTGAGATTCTATCAGATAAGGTCCTTCCAAGTGAGATCTCTCCAGTTGACAACCCTGCCAGGTGAGTTCTAGACAGATGAGGTTCTTCTCGGTGATGTCCCTGCCGGCTAAGTTCCAGCCAGGTCTCTGTCCTCCTTGGCTCTACCCTGTGGATCTTCAGAGTGTCTGTGATGCGGGTTCTGATGTGTGGGTAGAAGAACCTCTCCAGGTATCTATCTCCCAACACATTGTACCTCATTAACCACTTGCTCTGTGCAGGCAGAATGAGGAACCACAGGTGTAGACAGGTGGTTTGGCCAGAGTTGGCTTTGTTGCTCCCTCTTGAGTAGGAAGTTTCAGAGCCAGATTTCCTCCTCTCAGATGGAACCACAGTGTTGCCCTGAGGATTAGAGAAGGGGTATGTCACTTCACACACAACCCAGAGCTGTCCCAGGAGCCGGTGCTTGGGCTAGATGCCCACAGGGTTCCAGACCCTCTTCTGCTGTCATGGAGTCCTAGAGGATTTCAGCTGGATTTTCTGGAGCGTCCCTTGGCCATTAGAACCTTCACTTCCTTCCATATTAGGTTCCCCAAGGGCCTTTGGGGTTTGGCTGCTAATCCCCCATCCTTCCCATCACCAACTGGAGTCAGGCCATCTCAGTGACAGGCTACCACCAGCTCGCTCTGCCTTTGCCCACGTTGTCCCTTCTTGTCCTTAGCTTCTCTGTATCCTCCTCCTGGGCCATCTCTGGGGGCCCCCCTTCAGACGCTCAGGTCCCCTAGGCCCCCACTCCCCAGCTTGTACAGAACTGAGAGTCCAGCCTCCTGCTGGACAGTACGCCTCCTTAGCCTCCATGGCAGGGCTGGCCTGTCCTGTGGCCCCTGGGAGGGTGGGGCCTGCCCCTTCCCTCATCACCGGCGGTGCCGCCCCCAGGCCCTCAACGAGGACATTGTGCGAGTGTCCAGCCGGTTGGAGCACCTGGAGAAGGAGCTGTCCGAGAAGAGTGGGCAGCTGCGGCAGGGCAGCGCCCAGAGCCAGCAGCAGATCCGTGGGGAGATTGACGCGCTGCGCCAGGAGAAGGACTTGCTGCTGAAACAGCGGCTGGAGATTGACGGCAAGCTGAGGCAGGGCAGCCTGCTGTCGCCTGAGGTGCGCCCTGTGGGCCGGCCCGGCTGCCTGCTCCCCTCTGCCCCTGGCCCTGGGTCTCCGCTGGGTATGGGCCTCCCTGCTTCGGGACACACACCCTTCCCGGGTGTCAGCCCCCAGAAAAGGCGCAGGACTATCCCTCCCGCCGCTGGTCCAGCCCCCGGGCCTGGGACTCACGGCTGGGCCTCGCCGCCCTCGGTTCCCCCAGGTGGACTCGGGACTCGTCCTGTGTCCTGCATCTCGTTAACCTCAGGCGTATAGCACATGCTCACAACTCTCAACTCCCGACATGGGACGCGAGTCGGCACCATGTCAGCACACCTCACAGCCACATAGGTTTGCCCTCCTGCCAGCAGAGAAAGACTGTGTTAGAGAAATGGACCCCCAGGGGCTTACCTGGTAGTCCAGTGGTTAAGACTGTGCTTCCACTGCAGGTGGCATAGGTTTGATCCCTGGTTGGGGAACTAAGATCCTGCATGTTGTATGGTGCAGCCAAAAAGTTAAAAGAAGGGGAAATGGACCCCAGCAGACCCTGGGTGCCTCTGCAGTCCCACCACATCTTCCCTTCAGAGCAGGGTATCCCAAGCACAGGTCATTCCAGAGGCTGTGAGCTTCAGAGAGCAGGCTCTTAGCGGAGCCCCGACCCCCGAGCCGAGGCTGACATGGAAGTGTCCCTGCTCCTGCTGCAGTGGGCAGGGGCACCTCTCTGGCTCTGAGGACAAGCGGGCACATAAGGGCTGGGTCGTGGCTGTGTGTGGCCATCACGACTCTGCCCAGGACCTCGGTGTTCAGGGGGCAGCTGTCCCATGGAGTGGGTAGCCTGTGCCCCCCTCCACCCATCCCCGTGTCCCCGCAGGAGGAGCGGACACTGTTCCAGCTGGATGAGGCCATTGAGGCCCTGGACGCCGCCATCGAGTACAAGAACGAGGCCATCACATGCCGCCAGCGGGTGCTGCGGGCCTCGGCCTCCTTGCTGTCCCAGTGCGAGATGAACCTCATGGCCAAGCTCAGCTACCTCTCGTCCTCAGAGACCCGAGCCCTGCTCTGCAAGTACTTCGACAAGGTGGGGTCACGGAGCTTGCAGACCGCCGCCTCCACCGGGGTCGGGGGAGGTGGACAGCGCGGGCGGTGAGCCGGCCACATGCCTGCTGCCCCTGTGTGAACAGCCCTGGGTGAAGGGAGCCGGCGCTGGGGGCTGAGCCTGGCTCTTGGGGACAGGTGGTGACGCTCCGCGAGGAGCAGCACCAGCAGCAGGTGGCCTTCTCGGAGCTCGAGTTGCAGCTGGAGGAGCAGCAGAGGCTGGTGTACTGGCTGGAGGCGGCCCTGGAGCGGCAGCGCCTGGAGATGGACCGCCAGCTGACCCTGCAGCAGAGGGGCCACGAGCAGCACGTGCAGCTGCTGCTGCAGCAGAGCCGAGGTGGGGCCTGGGCCTGCCTCGGGGGCTGCCGCCCGCCCCGTAGCGCCTCACCCCTCCTCCTGCCTTTTTTCCTCCAGACCATCTTGGCGAAGGGCTGGCAGACAGCAGGAGGCAGTATGAGACCAGAATCCAAGCTCTGGAGAAGGAGCTGGGCCGCCATGTGCGGCTGAACCAGGAGCTGAAGCAGAAGCTCGGTAGCCTGAGTGCCGCCGGCCAGAGCAGGGGTAATTGCTGCGTGCCATCACCAGGCTGGCCGGGGCTCAGCCCTGACGTCGGGTCTTCTTTGTCCTGAGCAAAGCTTAGAAACCACTCAGCCTTCAGCTCTTGGGTCATTTCACATGTTGTTGATTGCACGGGGGTGTTGGAAGAAGGCTAGGGCTTCAGGAAGGTGTGGCTGGCTACCCCCATGTCTGACAAGGATGTTGTTTTTGCCAGTGATTGGCGGGGAGAAGAGGACCCCATGTGTGGAGAACAGACAAGCCCTTGGAAGCGAGGATGAGCTCTACCCAGCGCCTGAGCCTCTCTGGCAGCCCGCCGGCACGGAGGGTGCCCCCCGCCCACGGGAGGAGATGCGGGACTTGGTCCACGCCCCGTTACCGTTGACGTGGAAACGCTCGAGCCTGTGCGGTGAAGAGCAGGGCTCTCCGGAGGAGCTGCGGCAGCGGGAGGCCGCTGAGCCCCCGGTGGGGCGGGTGCTGTCTATGGGCGAGGCAGGTCTGCCCTGGAACCTCGGACCCTTGGCCAAGCCCCGGCGGGAACTGCGGAGGGTCAGCCCAGGGATGATCGACGTCAGGAAAAACCCCCTGTAGGCACACCCAGGAGATTCGGGGCCTGCCTAAAGGTGTGGTGTTGACACTCCCTTCTGTGAAGGAGTCCTTACCTCAAGCTCTAAATCAGGTCCTGATCTTGTTAGAGTCAACACATTCAGGCCACTGCCCAGAACTGAACTTGAATCACTTGTTTAAAAAAGGTGCAGATTTCTACCAGTCACTTCCTTTAAGATGCGGTTCCCAGTTGCTATGTTTTGGCTTTTTTTAAAATATAATTTTTAAAATTTTATAGTTGATTTATAGCATTGTTAGTTTCAGATGTGAAGCAGACTGTTTATACATATGCATATATCCACTTTTTCCGATTCTTTTCTCGTATAGGTTACTACAACTTTTTGAGTAGTTCTTTGTGCCATACAGTAGGTCCTTGTTATCTATTTTATATGTAGTAGCATGTATTTGTTAATCCCAAACTTTTAATTTATCCCTTCCCTTCCCTTTTCCCTTTGGTAACCACAAGTTTGTTTTCAGAGTCTGAGTTTCTGTTCTGTAAATAAGTTCATCTGTATTTTTTTTAGATTCCACATATAAGTGATATCATATATTTGTCTTTTTCTGCCTGATTTACTTCACTTAGTATGATAATATCTATGTCTGTTTCGCAGCAGATGGCATTCTTTTTTTTATAGCTGAGTAATATTCCATTGTATATATGTACCATGTCTTTATCTGTTTCTCTGCTAATGGAAATTTAGATGGCTTCCATGTTTTAGCTAGTGTAAATAGTGCTGCAGTGAACAGTGGAATGCATGTATTTATCTTTTCAAATTATGGTTTTCTCCAGATGTATGCCTAGGGGTAGGACTGCTGGATCATATGGTAGTTCTATTTTTAGTTTAAGGAACCTCCGTACTGTTCTCCATAATGGTTGCACCAGCTTACATTCCACCGACAGTGCAAGAGGGTTCCCTTTTCTCCACACCCTCACCAACATTTACCCTTTGCAGACTTTCTGATGATGGCCATTCTGACCAGTGTGAGGCGATGCCTTCTAGTTTCGATTTGCATTTCTGTAATACTTAGCGATGTTGAACATCTTTTCATGTTTTCTGGTCACTTGTATGTCTTCTTTGGAGAAATGTCTATTTAGTTTTTCTGCCTATTTTTTGATTGGGTTGTCTTTTTTTTTTCCCCCCCAATGTAGAGCTGCGTGAACTATTTGTATATCTTGAAGATTAAGCCTTTGTCAGTTGCTTCGTTTACAAATATTTTCTCCCATTCTGGGGATTGTCTTTTTGTTTATGGTCTCCTTTGCTGTGCAAAAGCTTTGAAGTTTACTTAGGTACCATTTGTTTTTATCACCCTGGGAGGTGGATCTAAAAAGATACTTCTGTGATCTGTGTGGAAGAATGTTCTGCCTATGCTTTCCTCTTTTATAAAACATAACAGTCAAGGTGATTGCCTGTCTCCACTTCACTTAGTTGTTCTTCTGCAGTTTTATCTTGTTCCTTCATCTGGAACTATTTCTGTGCCATATCCTTTTGTCTAATTTTTTGTGTTTGTGGTCTCTTCTTCAGGCTGCAGGATTGCAATTCTTGATTCTGGTATCTGCCCCCTGGTGGATGAGGCTGGTCTTAAGAGGCTTGTGCAGGCTTCCCATGGGAAGGACTGGTACCTGCCCACTGGTGGGTGGAGCAGGGTTTTTCCTCTGGCTCAGGACTCTGTCGAGGGGTTTGTAGGCGGCTGCTGGCTCCTGTTTTAGGCAGCCTGTGTGCTGATGGGAGGCACTGTTTCTACCCTGTTGGTTTGGCCTGAGGCATGCCAGCACTGGAGTTGGCAGCCGGCAGGCTGTCGGGTGGGGCCAGGTCTTGGTGCAAAAACGGCGACCTCACACCAATGATTATTTTCCGAGGTGTCTGCCACTAGTGTCCTTGTCCCCATGGTAAGCCACAGCCGACCTCCACCTCCAGAGCTCAGCTGAGGAATATACCACAGGGCCTCCACCACTGGTGTTCCTGCCCTTGCAGTGGGCTATGGCCAACCTCCGCCTCCAGGAGACCCTCTGAGACCTGCAGGTAGGTCTGGTTCAGGCTCTAATGGAGCTGCTCTGCCCTGGGTCCCAGGGCTCATGAAACCTTGTGTGTGCCTTCAAGAGTGGAACCTGTCTCCCCCAGTCCTGTGGCGCTCCTGCACTCAAGCCAAATGCTCTGGGGGCTCCTCCCCCCGATGCCAGACCCCCAGGCTGGGAGCCTAATGTGGGCTCAGACCTCACTCCTGTGGGAGAACCTCTGCAGGTGTGGGATTTGATTACATCATGAAAGCGCCCCTCCTGTCTTGTGGTTCTTCTTGGTCTTTGGGTGTAGAGTATTTTTGGTAGGTTCGAGCCTTTTTTGTTGATGGTTGTTTAGCAGTTGTGATTTTGGTGTTTTCCTGAGAGGAGACAAGTCCTTCTACTCCACCACCCTGTCTCTCTCTCTCTGCCACCTTTTGGCTTGAGTTTCAGAAAACCATTTTATAATAAAACAATCTCTGGAGGGAGAAAATAATGGGAGTTTAACTTAAAGGTTTTATTTATAAGATCACAGGAGGACTCAGATTTGGAAACACAATAGGCTTGAAAGCTTTTCAGAGACCGTGAGACGGTTCTGAATCAGCTGTTAGCCCAGGCCCTGGCCTGGACTTGACAGCCAGCTGGGATGCGGGGTGCCCTGGACAGCTCCACGACTAAGGTGGGTTTCCCTGTGAAGGACCGGAACCGTGCCGGGGACTGGCCGGCTCCCAGGGCAGACCTTGAGATATGGCTGCTCTGGAAACCACTAGAGCTGGACCATGGTCATATTTAACCTCAGGCTGGAATGTCTATATATGCTAAATAGCTAGAGGTGATTTTATTGTTACACAGGGAATGCAAACCTTTATTCTACCCCTGTGACACGGCCTTCTGTTTCGCGTACGTTGCTTCCAAGTGCTGCCTGTCTTGGGGTCCTGGCCTTATAGCAACTCGAGGGACCAACATAGGGGGTCCTTCTCCCACTTCGCAAGTGACACAGAGTATTCTGAACTTGCCATGGTCAGTTGATGTGGGGCTGGAATGGGATCCTGCCCTTACAGTTCTTGTCTGATTCTGGACACCCAGGCCGCCTCTGAGTTATACCACCAGTTACACCACCTCACTAAGGCCAGGCAGGCGTGGTGGATTAGGGCTGGGCTTGGGGGTGGATGGATTCCAGAGGGGGGATTTGAAAACTTGAAGGCATTCTACTGGAACTCTAAAAGCTGATCCTGGTAAAAGAGGCTTGGGACCAGGCCACCAGTTTGTTTCTGCCATGGGGACCTAGCTGACTTCACCTTCAGGTTTTAAATTTCCTCAGTTCCATTAAGCCCTGGTTATTCCCGTTTCTGTGCAGCAAGCTGAGGGTTACATGAGGAGTGGGCTGGCAGGGCCCTGGCTCAGATGGACCGGGTTTCTGGGTACATGACTTAAGCATGTGTTTATTCTACACGCCTGGAATTCCATGTATGTCCAGAGAAAACTGCTCTCAGAGCACTTTTGTGAGGAAGTGCAGTGGCTCCAGGCAAAGTCGGTAGTGTTTGTAGTTACACGTCCCCCAGACGGTTCCATTCTAACTAGCTGAGCAGCTTCTTCCGTGAATAAGTTCGGATGTTAGGGCGTCTCCTGGAGAATGCCCGGCTGAAAGGAGAGTCTTCTGCCGTGGGGGAAAATACATCCGCATCCTCATCTAGAAAAAGGCAGAAAGACTTATCATGCAGGACGTGACCGAGAACACACAGAGGAAAGTGGGCTTGACCTGCACAGGGTTACGCATGAAGACGGACTTAAGAAAACCAGCATTGCTTGTAGGCGTGCTCATCCCATGGAAGCATCCATTCCCCACGCTGTTTATCAGGCCCTCTACTCTTAATGTAAACACTGAGCAAATGGCAACAAGTAACTGAAAATGCAGAAAACCTGTGGCACTTCAGTCTTCTGCACCTTCTTTTTGTCTCAGGTTATGGGGGCTTTGCTATTTCTCATGATTTATATCATGGTCTTGAGGGAGGAGAACCATTGGCGACCCCGCCTCCTGCACCCCCCTCAACAATTCTAGCCATGCAGTGCAGTTAATAGGTTCAATCCCATTCTTCCCAGGTGGGGTCGAGGGGAATCCCAGAGTCTGAAGGGTGATGATAATGGATGGAAACGGGTGTAACCTGAGGAGAAACGGCTGGCCGGCTCGACACACACCACCTCCCACTCATGTTCCCCGCCCTCCGATCCCAGGGGCCGCAGACGAGCAGTCAGTGGCTGTGCCCACTTCTGTCACTGTCTTCAAGAAGCTAATCTGGCAGGATTTTGAGGGGTTTTTTTTGGTGGTGGTGGTTTAAAAGCACGTACGTTCTAAAGTGGTGTTTCTCTGGGAGCCCATGAGAAGGTGGGGGATAAAACCACCCTAACCCTGTGACACCTCCAAGATTCAACTGCCTGAAAACCCCAGAGGTAACTTGAGATCAAGCTAACCAAAGGACATTAGTTAGATCCTGGTGATGTCTCTAGGACTGCCAACAAATTACCTCTGGCATCTTTACGTTGAGAGGAGGGTGTCTTCCCCTGGAACAGCAGCGGAGAGTGGGTCAGCGCCTGCAGCCCGCTGGCAGAGAGGCACCTCCGCACGGCACAGCCGGGAGGCGGGGTGGCACCTGGAGTGATGGCATGGTCAGCGCAGCCTGCGGCCCCGACAAGGAAGCCCGAGCCTCCCCCGGAGTCCCCTCGGAGCTGCCGTGCCCACATGGCCCAACATGGCCAACTCACCTGGGACGAACGCCCCGTCGTCCGCCGTGGAGGGTAACTGGCGAACACTCGTGCCTGGAGACCACTCTTCCGAGTCTCCCTGCTGGTCGCAGATCCTCTTCGTGTGACGTTCAGCCGCCTCCTTAGCGGAGAGGCATCTCTTCCTAGATCCCAACCCAAACTGTCCCCAGGAGAAGGCCTCCTCAGCCATGGGCATGCTGTCCCTGGGAGGAGACTGGTCTGGCAGCTGACACACGCCCTCCAGCTCAAACTCCCCCAGGACGGGGGCCCTGCCAATGCCAAGTTCCAGGCCTCGCTCCTTGCCCTCCGGCTCCAGTGGCGACACTCCCCCGGGAAGGTCGGCACCGACCTCGCTCCTCCCAGCAGAGGGGCCGAGGCTGCAGTCCACCGCCCTCTTCCTGCGGGGCCAGTCTTTAATTGTGTCAGGAGTCGTCTTCCCACTGTGCTTGGGGGATGGGGTCCAAGGAACTCCAACGTCTGTCTGGAATGGAGAGGGGGTACTGTAGGGGCAGCGGGTGGGGGTGCATGACTGGCAGATATAGGTCTGTCCCCCACTCTTGCCAGGGGTGCTGTGTGAGGGGTGAAGGCAGGGGGCTTCAGGTTTGCCCGAGGACCTGCTGGCCCTGGGCACACTGGGACCGGGGAGGGCGCTCTCCTCCCTTGGCGGGGGCTCGGCTGCTGGCAAAGAGCTGGAGTCTATCTTTTTAATTCGGAGCTTGGGGAGGCCAGAAGCTTGCATCTCCAGCTCAACCTCATAGGCCTGCGGGCTGGCAGGGGCTCTGCAGGGCCAGGCTGACGCCTGCTGATCCTCGAGCTGCGTGGCCGCCTGGTGCTGCTTCGTGCCCGCCATGCAGTGCGCGTCGTAGTGGGGGGTCAGCGGAGAGCGGGGCCCAGAGGAAGGAGAGGTGGGAGGAATCCCGGGGTCACATGGAGACGGCTTCTCACATGTACCTGGCCTTAACCCCTCACCTTCGTCCAGGGGTGAAATGCTGCTTTTTAAGTTATCACGGCCATGGTGCTCAGCTTCATCCAGGAGAGTGAGACAGTCCGAGTCTGTTGCAACAAGCAAAGGAGAGGACGTGTGCCAGTCCCCCCCAAAGCCAGGTCCAGGGTAACTGTGTGTTTCAGACGAAGCTGGAGGAGAGAGGGTCACTGCCTTCTGGTTCTTTCCAGCGTCTGTGATGGCAGTTGGGTTGTCAGTTATGGCAGCCCTCAGAGGAGCCAAGCTGTCAGGCTGGCCCTCCAGGAACTCTTGTTCTGTTTCCAAGGTCTTTTTATGCCGTTTCCCATGTTTAGAAGGGGGCGGAGGGGGCCAGAGGTCAGACGGAGCTACCTGTGAAGCACTGGGGGGCGTCAAGGGAGCAGGACAGGAAGGAGGTGTGGTGACGCTGGGTGATTTCTGGGCCTCTTGCCAGCCCACTTGTCCAGAGGAAGGAGATGCTATGGGAAATAACCCAAGTGAACTCTTCTTAGAAATACCACGTGAAGGAGAGGTAACGGGTTTTTTTGGAGAAGTCAGAGCTGCGTTCCCTGGTCTCTCTGGGGTTTTGACAGCTTTGTTATTCCACAGCTGCGGCAGCTTCTCTGCCTGGGGCGCTTCAGAGCCCCGGGGGAGCTGGTGTTTCTGACTTGGAGATGTGCCCTCAGAAGCGGCTTGTTTCTGGAGCCCCGAGGCTGCTGCCCTGGGAGGTGCTCGAGCAGAGGATCTGCTGGGGGTCAGACACTCACTCCTGGTCTGGGCAGTTGATGAAACCAGGGCTGCTGGACAGGAAGTGCTTTCTGGACTGGAGTCCGCCAAACATGGCCAAGAAGAATTCTGCAAAAATCTGGGGGGCTGACCACCTTGTCTCTGAGGAGTTCTCGGTACCTTTTCAAGAGGAGAGGCACCTTTTGCCAGGGAATGTCCTTTCCGAGGGGTGACTTTTGGTCGCGATAGTGAATCCCAGCCATGTGGGGAGAAGTCTTTTAAGAATTCCTTAAAAATGACCTGTTTGGCAGGGGTCATTTCCGCAGGGGATTTCTGCAGCCTTTCTGGGGTGCGCAGTGGAGTCTGTGGTGTCTGAGGGACCTTTCTTGGTGTGGCTTTACAAGAGCTTGGAGACTTCCAGTAACTCTTCTCAGGCGTCTGTAAAGAAAGATGCTTATTTCAGTGCTTTGAACATCATAACCCATAGTCTCGGAAATGTTTTAATGATCTCTAAGAAGATTAAAAAGTCCAGTGGGAGGTTTATCATCAGCCAAAGGAATGATAAGTTGGATTTCATACAGTGACACGTTTCCACTTCCAAAACATGACCCAGATTTTACTTGTCAACTTTTTCTAGCACTAAGCACTGTATCCAAACTTCATTTCTTCTAAGACAAATTGTTTTAGTAATTTGCACACTACAGTGAAAATATGCTTTGCCTCTATCACTCCACTCACTACTCACAGCTGTCTTTTCCTCCAAGGAGAAAACTATTTCTGATCTTTGCCTGAAGTAACCTTTAGGAGCCACATCATCTGCTATTCACTCGCCTTCAACATGTGTTTTTAAGTACCTGATATGCATCAGGCAAAATGTGAGCAGAAAGCCGGGGTGGGGGGGATTGAGGTGAAACTATGGACTCTATGGATACACAGCAACAAAGATAACATCTCAGAGAGGAACCTTCCCAACAAAAAAACTTCCCTTCTTGCGAACACTGCAGTTAATTCCAACAGGTAAGGCAGTCTGACAACTATTGTGTAATCTTATTATCTCAAGAGTCCTGGTCCAGTTGGCATTTCATGTGGAGTATAGACAGATGAGGGGAAGATTCCCTGGAGGAGGAAATGGCAACACACTCCAGTATTCTTGCCTGAAGAAACCCATGGACAGAGGAGCCTGGTGGGCTACAGTCAATAGGGTTGCAAAGAGACATGACTAAAGCAACTTAGCACACAGACGGATGATAATACACTGGCTGATGTAATGACGGGGCGTGCCCGGGACACTGGGAGCACAGAAGGGCTGGCTGTCTAACCCAGCTGGGGGTGGGGGGCAACGGACAGAGTCAGGTCTTAAAAGAATGGGTGTCGGCAGGTGAAGACACAAGGTGGACAGTGCGGGAGAGGGAACCTGAGGCACAGACAGCAGTATGAGCAAAGGCACAAAAGTGAAAAACAGCAGCTATGTGCATCCTGAGGCTGTGGGAAGGTGGAATGTAAAGCAGAGATGGGCGAGCAGGGATCAGACCATGGAGGTCCTTGCCTGTCCAGGGAGGAGACGGAATATGGTCCTATGGACCCTTCCCCACAGCTCTCTCTGTGTCCCCCCGATCCCTAAGTGGTTTGGGGCAGAGTCTGTAGAGCTTCCAGCACAGTGAGGTAGTCAGAGAAGCACCCGATGGGGTCACAGAGGTCCCGCCAACCTCTGGGGGTGGGGCGGATTTGAGAGCGAAGAGGCTTCGGAAGTGTTGCAGGCAGAAGTGAACTAGGGTAGGAACTGAAGGGATGGAGAGGAGGGAATGGGTATCAGGTTGTCAGTAAAATGGGCAGGACTGACTGATTAGCCAAGCCTGAGGAGAGGGAGAAGTCCAAGATGACTACCAGGTTTCTAACATGGGTGACTGGATTGAGTGGGCAATCTAACGGAACTGGAGAGAATGCTACTGCACATTTCAGATAGATATAGATTTGTGTCCAATATAAAGAGAGATGAACCCAAGAGCTAGGTGAGATCTATCTGCTCAGTCCAGCTGCTACCTTAAGTCCCCATATACCCAATAATCTTTCATCAAGTCAGCCCCAACCACCTCAAATCTCTATTATTATCTTCTCTTCCTTACTCGCCTCAGTGGCTTTCCTTGCCCATGTCTACATGTTCCCCAAACTGTACTACTTTAAACATCATAGTAATTTTATACCTGATAGGCTGTAGGTATTTCAGAACCCAGAGTGTTTCCTGAAGGCCTTTTACTCCGTGCTGAGCCCTTCTCTGAGGGACTGATCATCTCAGACACTGCCCCGAATAGAAGTCTCTTGGGAGACCGAATATTTTGGACTGGAGAGTTTTCTCTTTGGTCTGCAAGTCAAAAACAGTGACAATATTTAATTCTTTCTCAACTCCTGCCCTCTCACCCCCCATCCAATACTCATAAAACAGCCAGTCTATATAAGAAAGATGACAATTTGGGAGCAAATGGAGGAAATCCCACCTAATTATGACAGCAGTGGTAACAAGTGCTGCTTTATTGCATTCTGAGACTGCGTATCAAGCCCAGTCCCTATGTTAGGAGGTGTGGGCAACTGAAATAATTTAATTTGAAAAGACAAGTATAAAAAGATACATCTGATGAGCAAAGTTGATAATAGATAAAAGAATGAAGGTCATACAGTACCTTCAATCTGGGGATAACTTCCCATAGGATCTGAATGTATGGAGGAAATTACAGGTCATTTCCTCTGGAATGAATGCAGTACCTACAAGGATAGTGTGGATAGCCAGCCATAGGAAGCCAAAGGGGTGACTCTGATAATGGTGGCTGTGGTCACCTGTTCATCTGGTCATCACTCTGAGCCTCAAATATTTATACCATAAGTTCCCTGCATACAAACAAGTTCTGTTCCGAGAGCGCATTTGTAAGTCCAACTTGTTCCTAAGTCCAAAGTCAGCCGAGGTACCCAGCTAACACAATTGGCTATGTAGTACTGTATTATAATTGGTTTGTAATATTTTTCACACAAAGATTAAAATATTCCTAACCTTGGAGCACAGTACCTTGCAAAGTACAGTACAACAGCTGGCATCAAGCAACAACCACCAGCTACATCACCACTGTTTCTATGCTGCTTCCAGACATCCTGGGCTTGAAATAAAGACATTGTACTACTGTACCCTGTACAGTACTGTAAAGTACATACAAATACAACCACTTGTAGAAGATGCATGCACATGACAACGTATACAAGACAGGTGTGCTTACATGATTGGACATTCTAACACATGTTATCATCTTTGAAAGCTCATATCTGAAGGTTCATACATAGGCAACTTACTGTACCTGACCTGTTTCTCCAATATCAAATTTCATTCTTTTCCCACCAAATTTTTGTGGACCTCTAAAGACAGGTAGGCAAAGTGTGTACCTGACTTCATTTGCTGGAATGAGTGAACTCTCTGTATACTTCGAGACTTTGGCTGAGACACAGAGTAGAAGGAAGCCGAGTTCGTCCTGCTGAACGCCAACTGCTTGATTCGAGGACTTCGTCTCAAACTCCCCACTGTAAGACCAGAATCACAGTTAGTAACCAAGAAGAAATGCAAGCTCGCTGTTTCCCCTATGAAATGGTTAAGATCTATGTGACACCGTGTACAAGAGGGGCTTCTCTGGTGCCTCAGGCAGTAAAGAATCTGCCTGCAGTGCAGGAGACCTGGGTTCCTGGGTTGGAAGATCCTCCTGGAGAAAGGAATGGATACCCACTCCAGTATTCTTGCCTGGAGAATTCCATGGACAGAGGAGCCTGGTGGGCCACAGTCTATGGGGTTGCAAACAGTCAGACATGACTGAGCAACTAACACTTTCACACAAAAGATGGAAACTGGACAAGCTCTTGGTTTTGAGACCTTTGAAGTGTGACAAAGCTAGGAGGGCTAAGATATGTGGCCCCAGCAAATTAAAAAAAAAAAAAAACCACCCAAAAAAACCCGACCCCTCCAGAACTGTAATCTGCATAAATATTATGAACTGCCATCTTGAAGCATTATGTAGAGTGATAAAAAAGGTTTGCAGAGTGTGACTTTCATTAAAAAGTTTTAAATCACAGTTTTCATACTTATGTTACATATATTTGTACAGAAACAACACCTGTAAGAGTACTATTAAAGCTAAATGTTAGAGTATTTCTGATTTGTGGGATTACCAAGTGTTAATTTTTTGGCTTCTCTATGTTTTCTAATTTTTCTACAATAAACTACTTGATTTTAAAAAAATATGTTTTTGGAAACCACTCCTTCATGTATACTTTAAAAACAGGCCACAGGTTTTTATTGTTAATTTTTGGCTAAGCTGGGTCTTTGTTGCTTCACGAGCTTTTCTCCAAGTGCAGCACGTGGGGGCTACTCTCTGGTTGTGCTGCACAGGCTTCTTTTATTGTGGTTCCCGGGCTCTAGAGCACAGGCTCATAGTTGTGGCACATGGCTTAGCTGCTCCGCAATATGTGGGAACTTCCCAATAAGGGATGGAACCCATGTCTCCTGCGGTAAACATTGTTTACCACTGAGCCACCAGGGAAGCCCCACAGCACCTTATATTAACATAGTTTAGCGTTCACTCTGAATCCCATTTCTATTATGTAAAAATATTTCTTCTCCAGAAACTCTCAGTATACTCTGTGTAACAACAGATCATTCACCAATTAACATGTACTGATACACACTGTGGGCCCAGAGCTGTCACAATGGATATGCTGAGCAAGAATACAAGTCCAGAAAAGTTTCCATAGAAAGTAGAGAAAACACAAAAGCCCAGAACCCCAAAACAAACAAAAGTAGGTAATACCATCTTCTCCTTTCTCTGGGGACTCTTCAACGATGTTAATATCAGGACCAGGATCAGAGGACCTTGAAGAACAGTGGGTACAAGGACAATTCAGCATCACTCATAAATAATGCACATCACAGACCTACCGGTTCTCACCTCACAAGGTAACAAAGACCACAAGTGGTCTTGGTGACATCACTGTGGGCAGGTACTCTCAGACATCACTGTCAAGAGTGAAAGGGTAAGAACATTTTTTTTTTTAAGTAGTTTGACAAAGTTAAATTTGTATACCGTTTGATCCACAAATTTCACTTCTTACAGTTTACCCTGTATATAAATGAGCACAAGTGTGTAAAATCCACACACAAATAATGTCCAGATGTAGCCTTGACAAGGAGTAGATGTACTTCTCCCATTCTTCCTCTCATGTACAGCTAAGAACCCTGGATGTTACATACAGAGCAAGCAGAAGGCCCTCAAAGGTGGAGAGAAGACTGAGGACCGCACGACCTGAAGAGACACAGAGCAGTGGGCTCTGGGGTTTGTGTTTGCGTCATAGATCCTGGACTGGGTGCTCAACAAGCTGACGACCCCCAAACACTGACAGGTGCAGACAAAAACTTCCCTGAGGAAAGTTAGTTCTCTTTAGACAAAGAACCAGGAAAGGGGCAGCCGAGTAAGACAGAAACATTCAGCAAGAGCTGCCCTACTGCAACCAATTGCCATGGAAAACTGTGGCCCCACCACACCCCTGAACGGGCCTAGCTGGGATCATCCCAGGCCTGGCAGCGACACTCCCTCCTTCCCTAGGTCAACACATGAATAGATTTTAAAATTAGGCAATATCCATTCAATAGAATACTACTCAGCAATAAAATGGAACGAACTATTGATATATACAACAACACAGATAAATCTAAAATAATTATGCCAAATGAAAGAGGCTGGACATTAGAGTGCATTTTGTATGGTTCTCCAGCCCTCACAGAATTTTCAGAAGTGCTCTTTGGTGATGAGCAACACGGTTGAGACTGGGTCACAAATATCATGAGAAGGTAAGCATGGCCCATAAGATCAGGAGGGCTGTGTGGGAGCATGAAGAAGCTAGACAAGGATGTTGCTCACCTGCCCTTGATCTGTCTATGAAGCAGCCTTCCAGAGATTTGCTTGTGTACTGGCGTCTCAGCCACACTCTTGGTCAGCAGCTTGCGATAACCTAAAATGTAAACAGGATAGATTTCACATAAATTTCACACTTATCAAGAAGGAACAGCAAGTCAATGGAGGCAATTTGAACTTAAATACGCTTTAACACTTAGCCAGAGTGGCTCTTAATGGTCTCATGGACCAAGGTCTAACCATAAGATTCGACTTACTATGACATTACAGTTTATCAGCACTATTAGAGTTTAACAATAAATAATCCAATATAAAATATAATGAAATTTTAAAATAATGATCCTGAAAAAAAGTTCTTACTTATTAGGGCTAATACTTCTGTCTACCTAGTTGGTGGTTCTTTTATTTATAATTAAATTATTGCACTTATGATTAAATAAGGCACGTGAAAATACTGATATGTCATGCAATGTTAAGATATTTAATATAAAGATAAATCTAATTTATGCTCTGGCATAAATTTTCTCAATAGCATAGGGCAGACAAGTTACTCACGGGAGGACTGGTTTTAAGTGAGATAAAAATGACTAGGAAGAGGATTGATGTCAGCAGGAATGTGGGGTAAGGACCTCTGAGAAAACTCCCCCATAAAAGGAATGAGAATACTGACCAAAAGTGAACATCAATTTCTCCAGAACTCGAAATTAACCAGTTTGGAGTAATCCAAGGAGTAGTTATTCAATACAAGAATAGCAATTAAGAATAGCAAGCCCTGCAGAACTTTACCTTCCCTGGCCCTTGAGAACCAACAGCCCAGTGGCCCCTGGGTGAACAGAATGGTGTCTAAGCTCCTCCACAGCCCCATTCCCAGACAAAGGTCTATTTGGCGTATCTGGCGGTTCCCTGGAAAATCCCACTCACTGGGCCTATCTCTATTTGACCCGACTCAAAACTCATCCAATGCAAACAACTTTTTCCCAGGGAGCCATTTACTAAAAACAATCAGCAGCAACTGTAAACATCACAGCTGCCTGAGGTGGGGCAGACAAGATAACCAAAAGTCTAGATGTGAAAGCTGGGGAATGAGACATCCACAAGGGACTCTGCTAACTTCTGACACACTCCTGGGAACCTACAAGGCCATGTGCGGGAGGACTGTGTGCATGCCCAGGATGGACCCAAGAAGGCCCTTGCATGCGTGCTCAGTCGTGTCTGACTCTGTGTGACCCCATGGACTGCAGCCCCCAGGCTCCCCTGTCCATGGAATTCTCCAGGCAAGAATACTGGAGTGGGTTACCATTTCCTCTTGGCTATTACCTTTGGCTGACTCCAAGGCTCTAGGAAACAGGAGTTGTTAAATGTCTGGCTGAGTATTGAAGACGTGAGCCAATGCACACATAGGGCCCCTCAGCAAAAGCTGGGAAACCTACTAGTTCCAGGCATGGAACGAAATCTCTGTTCAACCCTTAGCTGACCACTAAGCTAACCAAGCAGAGATTTTAGTGGCTACACTTGACAGAATACAGACTTGAAAGAACTAGTTCAGTAAACAAACAAAAGCAGTTAAGAGTAAAAACAAACTCTGCCCTGGAGCCATGGCAATGTGATTGTCAGAGCTGACTCAATATTTAACATGTCCAGTTGTCAACAAAAAATATGAGACAAGAAATAAGAAAGTACGGCCCATAAACACAGGGGAAAAAAAAACCCATTCAATAGAAAGCATTCCTGAAGAAGTTCAGACATGGATTCCTTAGCACAAGACTTTAAATCAGCTATCTGCAATATGTTCAAAGAACTAAAAAATAAAAAAGAATATCTAAAGAACTAAAGGAAGGTACAAGCCTGAGGACTTGCCAAGTACGAATATCAATAAAGGGAGATGTCGTTAAAAAGAACCAAGTAGAAATTCTAAAATCGAAAAGTACACTATCTAAAATAAAAAACTCATTAGAGGGGCCTAGGAGTTGATATGAGGTGGCAAAAGAAAGAATCAAAGTTGAAGACAGGTAATTGAGATTATCTAGTCTGAGGGACAGAAAGAAAAACGAACAGTCTCAGACACCCGTGGGACACAATCAAGCATAACATAAGACATACTGGGAGTTCCAGAGAAAGAGGAGAGAAAGAGGTGGGAAACTCTGAAGAAATACTGGTTGAAAACTTCTGATGTCTGATGAAAGACATTACATAGCCAAGTAGCTCAATAAACCTAAATAGGATAAAGACAGAGATCCGCACCAGACAAATCACAATCAAACCGTCAGAAGTCAAAGGGAAAGAGAGACTCTTGAAAGAACCAAGAAAGCAGCGATCCGTCCTGTACAAGCAGTCCTTGATAAGATTAACAGCTGATTTCTCCTCAGAAACATAGGATGACAAAAATGTGGGGCGATGAAAGGCACAGGGTTGAAAGAAAAAGACTCAATCAAGAATTCTATTATAACATCTTATAGAAAAACCCGAATGAACTTTTTGGCTCACCCAACATATCCTGTAAGGGAATCTCTGATGGCTCCGCAGTAAACAATCTGCCTGCAACGCAGGAAACGCAGATTTGATACCTGGATCAGGAAGATCCCCTGGAGAAGGAAATGGCAACCCACTCCAGGATTCTTGCCTGGAGAACCCCATGGACAGAGGAGCCTGGAGGGCTACAGTCCATGGATTGCAAGAGTCAGACACGACTTAGGGACTAAACCACCACCACCAATAAACCCTGTAAACTATCACTCAAACATGAAGGGGGAATGAGCACATCCTCCCCACCCCCACAGATACACCTGAAACAACACTGAGAGAACCTGACACCGGCAGACAGCCCTAGAAGGAATATCCCTACTACCATCAGCCTTCAGGCTGAAAGGAGGGGCGCTAGGAAGGAAGAGGAGTCCAGTGGAGAACCAAAGGGCACTGGCAGAGGCAAGCGTACAAGTGAATGCCAACAACAGGACAAAAGCATTGCTATTTCTCTATCTTTTCTCCTTTGAGTCAAAGATGAAGCAAGGATTATAAATGTGCTGATGGGCATACAATGTATCAAGATGTAATTTGTATGACAAGATAGCACACAGAAGGGGGTAGAAAATAGCTATACAGAGGAGCAAAGTTTTTGTTGCACTCCTGAAATTAAGTTGATATTAACCTTGACTGGGTAAATTAAGAAATTAATTGCAACCCCATGGAAAGGGACACCATACAAAACAGTGAAGTAGGAAGCTTTAGGGTTTGGTCCCTCCCCTGAAACAACTAGTAAACTAGGAAAAAAATGATCAGAGTAAACTGTTTTGGAACTTCTGGAACCTGACTGGCATTAATGACAGCCAGGAAAGAGCCTAATGAAGGGAGAGCCTGATATTGAGCAAGGGGATGACGTGCCCGAACAGCGACCAGCCTCTGTCCTCAGCCCCGCTGCGGCTGTGGGGGCGTGGCCCACGTCCTAGGAGCAGCTGGCGGGAGGCAGAGCAGACAGTGGGGACCCTGTCCTCTAACTCCGGGTTACAAGGTTCAGTCAGCGTGCTCGGAGAGTGGAGCCCTGTGGGGCCTGCACAGACTTCCGCCCTGATTTCTGCCCTCGGGGGCCAGCAGCTTTCCCCCACCATGTCCAACAGGTGACTTACAGGGACAGGAACACCTTTTAGGAGCCAGACATTTAAGGAAATCTTTTTCAGGTTACCACCTAATCACAGAGACAGCAGAACAGAAACTTCAGTAACCACACAAGAGGGAATACATGCTTTGTAAAAATAGCTGGGAAAAGGCACAAGTGGACAGGCTCTCAATAAGCAAAGATCAGTGATTTCACAGAAGTGGGAGAATCTTATCTCCAGAGTCAACAGACTATAAAATTCAGAATACCTAACTCTCAACAAAGAATTACAAAACACACAAAGAAACAGGCAAGTGTGTCCAGGAAGAAGAGAATTTGACAGAAAGTACCCTTGAGAAATCCCAGACATTGGAATCACTGGTCAAAAATGTTAAATGAGCTCAAGAAAAAAAATAAACACAGAACTGAAATAAGGAAAACAATGGATAAACACAGTGAGAATATCAATAACGTAACAGAAATTATAAAAAGGAACCAACCAGAAACTTCAGAGCTGAAAAGTACAATAACTGGAAAAGTTCATTAGAGGGGTTTCAACCTCAGATTTGAGCAGGCAGAAGAATCAATAAACTTAAAGACAACCAAAATTATCCAATCTGAGCAGAATGAAAAAAAGGACTAGATGGCTTCATTGATGAATTCTACCTAACATTAAAAAAAGAATTAATACCCTAACACCTAAGCAATTCAAAAAGCACCTAAGACAACTCAAGGAGGAAATAGTCTTTTCACTGCATGAGGCTGGTACAGCTGGATAACCACAGGCAAAATACACAAAAACTAACTGGAAGTGAGTCAAAGACCTAATTTAAGATTTTAAGCCATAAAATCTTAAAATATCATAAAATTGGGTTGAATAATGGATTTTCAGACATGCTACCAAAAGCACAAAGAACAACAGAAATAGATCAAACTGGATAGCATCAAAATTAAAAATACTTTATATATCAAAGGACGCTATCAAGAATACAAAAAGCAAACCCAACAAATTGGGGTAAAAATATTTGCAAATCACATATCTGATAAGAGATTAGTATCTAGACTATTATATAAAGAACTCTTACAACTCATAGTAAAAAGACACACAATCCAATTTCAGTTCTGTTTGGTCACTCAGTCTCATCCGACTCTTTGTGAACCCACGGACTGCAGCATGCCAGGCTTCCCTACCCATCACCAACTCCCAAAGCTTGCTCAAACTCATGTCCATTGAATCGGTGATGCCATCCAACCATCTCATCTTCTGTCATCCCCTTCGCCTTCCGCCTTCAATCTTTCCCAGCATCAGGGGCTTTTCCAATGAGTCAGTTCTTCAAATCAGGTGGCCAAANCTACTACTGTGGGCAAGACTCCCTTAATGGAGTAGACATCATAGTCAACAAAAGAGTCTGAAATGCAGTACTTGGGCGCACTCTCAAAAACCACAGAATGATCTCTGTTCATTTCTAAGGCAAATCATTCAATATCACAGTAATTCAAGTCTATGCCCCAACCAGTAATGCTGAAGAAGCTGAAATTGAATGGTTCTATAACAACCTACAAGACGTTCTAGAACTAATACTCAAAAAAGATGTCCTTTTCATTACAGAGGACTGGAAAGCAACCCAATTTTAAAATGGGCAAAGATTTCTCCAAAGAAGCTATACAGGGATTTCCCTGGCAGCCCATTGGTTAAGAATCTGTATTGTCACTGCTCTGGGTGCAGGTTTGATCCCTGGTCAGGAAACAAAGATCCTGCATGCCGTGAAGTGGTGAGACTAAAAAAAAGAGGCTATACAAGTAGTCAGCTAGCACAAGAAAAGGTTAATAACATTAGTCATCAAGGGAATGCAATTTATAATTGCAATTACACACCACTTTACACCCACTGGATGAATAGAATCAAAAAGGGACAATGGACAGCAGTGGCAAGGATGTGGAGAAATTAGAACCCTCACACACTGTTAGTGTGAATACAGCCACTTTGGAAAAGTTTGGTAATTGCTCAAAACTTAAACAGAGTTATTATGTGGCCCAGTGAATTTCATTTCTAAGCATATGCCTGAGAATTAACAACATGTCTACACACAATCTTGTACATGAATGTTTACAGTAGCATCACTCACAATAGCCAAAGATAGAAACAACTTAAATGACCACCAACTGATGAATGGATTAGTAAAATGGAGCTTATCCATACAATGGTATATTATTACCAATAGAAAGAAATGAAATACCGAGACACACTACACCATGTATAAACCTTGAAAACATTACGCTAAAGTAAAAGAAGCCAGTTACAAAGACCATATGATTCTTCTTATAACACCCATAAGAAATCTATAAAAATATAAAGTAGACTGGTGGTTGCCTACAGCTGGGAGGATTGGGAAAAATGGAGAGTGACTGGTTAGTGATGGGTTCAGGGTTTCTTTTAGGAATGATGAAAATGTTCTGGAATGTGTCATGATGTGCACAACTTTGTGAACATAATGAAAACCACTAAATGTTGATTTTATAACACATGAATTACCTCAATTACAAACAAGCAACAACAACAACAAAAATAAACACACCAGAAGATTAGAAAACAGCTAGTCACCATCTTTCATTTCTGTTTAACTGGTTTTATAAAGTAGGTATTTGTCTGTTGTCTTTCAGAAGGGAGGAATGAGAAAAATACCAGGATTAATTCTTCATCTAAGCTTGGAGGGAGAGAGATCCCAAGTGGAAAATTAACTGACGGTAACCACTGAGGAGAGGAAAGCATGAGATTAATGAGCTCCTCCTGCAACAAAGAGTCTGGAGACTGGTTTGAGGTTGAGAAACCCTTCTCTTGGTTACCCTACAATGCGGTACCTTTGGTCCTCTTAAAGTTGTCATGTGCAAACTCCAGACCTTCCACAGCCGACACTGAATGGCTTCTGGGCAACCCCCTCTTTACAGATCTCTTTGAAGGAGAAATCATTTCCTGGTTGAAGAGATTTCTTCGAACTTTGGTTACTTCTGAAAGCATTAAAAAAAGAAAAAGTCAAACATTATCATTAATAAATGCCATACATGAGAAAAGAAAGATATCCAAAACAGAGAATCTGCTTAAGGAAACTAACTATTTTACAGACTGACTGCTATTATATATTTACATTTAGTAACAGGATTTCCTTAAATAGTACACTCACATGGTATATCAAAACTATTTACCCTTATAAATTAAATTTAAACCCAACTTTCTGGGAATACATGGAAGGCCCACATCACTTAAATTGGAAAAGTTTTCATTTTTCTTCTTTTGAGTATTTTACTGGTTTGCTGGGTCTAACAGTAGCCCCACCCTATCCACGGTTTCACTTTCCAAGTTTTCAGTTATCCACAGCCAATTGCAGTCTGAAAATATTAAATGAAAAATCCTAGAAATAAACAATTCATAAGGATTAAAGTTGTGTGCCTTTCTGAATAGCATGTTAAAATCTCATGCCATTCTGCTCTGTCCCACTCAAAACATAAATGATTCCATTAGTCACTTAGTAGCCATCTGGGTTATCAGATAGACTATCGCAATATATTAGTGCTGTGTTCAAGTAACCCTTATTTTACCCAAACACCTTTTGAGCCCCAAAACACAAAGTAGTGATGCTGGCAATTGGGATATGCCGAAAAGAAGTCGCAAAGTGCTTTCTTTAAATGAAAAGTTTCTCTACTTAAGGAAAGAAAAAAAATTATATGCTGAGGTTGCTACGATTTATGATTAAGAACGAATTATCTGTGAAATGGTGAAGGAAAAATTCATGCTAGTTTTGCTATCACATCTCAAACTGCAAAAATTATGCATGAAAGTGTTTAGTTAGGATCAAAGAGGATTGAAAGTGTTTAGTTAGGAATGAATATCTTGTAAACCTGTGCAAGATACTTTGAGAGCAAGAGACCAAATGCATGTTAACTTCTGTTATGGCTGTTCTATTTTATAAGGCATTAATTCCTACCGTGCCTAATTTATAAGTTAAATTTTATCCTAGGTATGTATGTATGTGCATGCTAAGTTCCTTCAGTTATGTCCAATTCTTTGTGACCCCATGGCCTGTAGCCCACTAGGCTCCTCTGTCTATGGTATTCTCCAGGCAAGAATACTAGAGTGGGTTGCCAGGTCCTCCTCCAGGGGATCTTCCTGACCCAGGGATCAAACCTGTGTCTCTTATGTCTCCTGCATTGGCAGGCAAGTTCTTTACCACTAGTGCCACCAGGGGAGCTCCATAAATGTATAGGAAAAAACCTACACAGCTTTGGTACTATCTGAAGTTTTAGGTGTCCACTGTGGGTACTGGAATGTACCCCCTGTGGTTAAGGGGGAACTCTGTGTGTGTGTGTGTGTGTGTGTGTGTGTGTGTTAGTCGCTCAGTTGTGTCTGACTCTGTGACCCTATGGACTGTAGCCAACCAGGCTTCACTGCCTGGAATTCTCCAGGCATGAATACTGGAGTGGGTAGCCATTCCCTTCTGCAGGGGATCTTCCCGACCCAGGGATCGAGCCTGGGTCTCCTGCACTGCAGGCAGATTCTTTACGGTCTGAGCCATCAGCGTGGACAAGGGGGAACCACTATATCTGAAATCTTCTTCCTAACTCCAGTGCATAAGGGTTGCAACCACCTAAACTCAAAGTTAGGAGAAAAAGCTTAAGAGTCAAGAAATACTTAACAAGGCCAGCAGGATGGCATCTTAAACTCAAGCAAGATGGCCTAGTGTATTATACTCAAAAAGTCACTCAGGGTAAAACAAATTCTAAGACCAGGTTTCCCTGGTGGCTCAGCAGTAAAAAATCTACCTGCCAACGTAGGAGACACAGGTTTGATCCCTGATCTGCGGAGATCCCACATGCGGCAGAGCAAATAAAACATTGTGCCACAACTATTGAGTCTGTGGTCTAGAGACCGTGAGCCGCAATTACTGAAGCCCAAGTGCCCTAGAGCCCGTGCTCCACAATAAGAGAAGCCACCGCAATGAGAAGCCTGCACACCGCAGCTAGACAGTCGACACTGCTCGCCACCACTAGAGGAAGCCCGTGCACAGCGACGAAGACGCACCACAGCCAAAAATAAGAGTAAATAAAATTATCTTTAAAAAAACTCTTTAAGAGCAAGTCATTTAAATAAAAACCAAAAAAACTGGGATTCACAAACTGGGAGAAGCCTCTTTGTTTACCCATCAACAACATAAACATTAAGAATATCAATAATAAACAAAGCAAAAAAAAAGCCTCCATCTACACCAACAAAGAAACCCTCACCTACCTGAAGCAAGCCGATCAAACAAACCAATCAACGAACAGACAAACAAAATCGATCACTTACTGTTTTTCCCAAGTTTTGGAAAAGTTTATATTGATAGAAAATTTCGAAAAGGAATACAATAAACAGAATCGTCACTAAAATTTATCAACTGTGGACATTTGTTTTCTCCCTCATCCTCTCTACGTTTATACAACCCCAAAACAATGTGGGGTGACCTGCAGACATCACAACTCTGCAGATTCCTGTATTTCAGCAGGCATCTCCAAAGAACAAGAGCACACTATCTAACCCATCCTCTCTCATGACTCAGTAACATCCTTTACAGCTTTTCTGCCCTAAATTTAAGATCCAAACAGGGATCATGTGGTGCATGAATGTCACACCTGAACTCCTTTTATCTAAACCAGTTCTGCTGCCTCTTTCCTTTTGGGCTTTCATGTGAATGGCATTTTAAAATATATGTATATTTCAGCCAGTTATTTTACAAAATGCAATATTTTGAGCCCATGTGAACATCTTACTCTCCTAGCACACAGTATATAGACGTTTCATTAGCTGATAATTATACCAAACTATGTATTATATATACTGCAACATGTAGTTGCAACATGCAACTACAAAGCTATATACTGATATATACTATAAAACAACATATACTACATGCAACCACAAAACTATATACTATATATACTACAAAACTACATATACTACATGCAGCTGCTTAAATATATGTAATCAAAATAAACTTGTCATTGGCTATAACAAGGAAACAAAAGCATACCTTGTACTGTGTCTTTCACTGGGAGTGAAGGCTGCTGAAGGGTAGGGTGAGAATTCTCCTGAAAGATGAGAAAATCCAATAAGAAAACTTCAATAGGTACTCATTTAAAAGAACAGGAACTCCACAAAAAAAAACCCTTTGACCCTTGCAATTTCACTTGTAGGAATCTGTAACAGAAACAGCTGTAAAATGGACAAAAACAGGGTCTGGGAATAGACACAACAAACCGCCATCAGTGACTACTTCTGAGGAATGGGTGGTGAAGAAGTACTAACATTTACCTTTATGTCATTTCTATTTTTAAAAAAATTGCATTTATTTTATATTTTTGCTGCACAGCAGATGGGATCTTACCCATCTGATCAGGGGTTGAATTTTCAACCCCTGTGGTAGAAGTTTGGGTCTGAAAAACTGGACCACAAGGGAATTCCCTAATTTCAATTTTTAAACAATGTTTCTGTATAACTTTTATAACTAAAATATAAGGGAAACCCCATATAATTAGAAGATGGCTATACTCTGAGGAACGTGTCCATATAAAACTGCTATTTGGGGACTTCTCTGGCGGTCCAGTGGTTAAGACAACTCCTCACCTCCACTGCAGGGGGGCCTGGGCTCCAGCCCTGGTCAGGGAATTAACTAAGATCCCGCATGCCGTGTGGTGTAGCCAAAAAACAACAAAAAAAATATTCTTGCTATTTATTTGCTATTACAGTAGAGAATTCAAGTGCCCAAGATCAAATGGCACCTAAAAAGAGAATTGTTTTTAAAGATTTTCTTGCTTTTTTCCAAGTATGCCGCTGTAATCACTGAAGAATGAAAGTCATAGAAGAGCAAAAACTTAACAAATGATACCCTTTAACCAAAATCAAATCCTGATCACATTAACCTGGTCTTAAAGAAATACACTTTCTAGGCCAATCTGAAAAATTTTCAGAAAGGAGACCTATCATATAGAATCTACTGACAGAGGTGTTCTGACACTTTGGACTTCACACTCTCCAAACAAAACCTAAGATTTGAATCTTATTTACTTATATGTATTAAGGTATACTAAGAAAGTGGAGCCATCTTGGACCCTGTGGAGGCCTGCTGGGAACGGGACTTCTAAAACGACAAATATGTCTAGAAGGCTGTGGTCCAAGGCCATTTTTGCTGGCTATAAACGGGGTCTATGGAACCAAAGGGAACACACTGCTCTCCTGAAAACTGAAGGTGTATATGCTCGAGATGAAACTGAATTCTATCTAGGCAAGAGATGTGCTTATGTGTACAAAGCAAAGAACAACACAGTAACTCCTGGTGGAAAACCTAACAGAACCAGAGTAATCTGGGGAAAGATAACTCGAGCTCATGGGAACAGTGGCATGGTTCGTGCCAAATTCCGAAGTAACCTTCCTGCTAAGGCCATTGTATACAGAATCCGTGTGATGCTCTACCCTTCGAGGATTTAAACTTCTTGAAAATAAATAAAAGTGTGGATTTGTCCTGTTGTGCTTTTGTTAAAAAGAAAGAAAAAAAAGAAAGTGAACAGGCTTCCTTGGTGGTAAAAAACCCGCCTGCCAAATGCAGGAGACGCAGGTTTTTAATCCCTGGGTCTGGAAGGTCCCTTGGAGGAAAAAGTGGCAACCCACTCCAGTATTCTTGCCTGGGAAAATCCCATGGACAGAGAAGCATGGCGGGCTATAGACCATGGCTTCACAATAGAGTCAGACATGAATTTTTAGCGCCTAAACAACAACAAAGTGAACACCATTAACTCTTAAAAAGAAACCCCACCTCCTATTCTAAAGCGCAGCTATAAATCTCCAGAAACAAACCACTATTGTAATGACTAATACTTGAAAGCTAGTTCTCCTAGAATTCTAACTCTTCTCATAATTCATGCAGTTCAAAAGTTTCAATGCATTCTTTGTCTCTCTCCTCTTAGACATTAATTCTATTTAGTAAATAGACTCCAGCTGAATTTCTTTTTTCTTTTTTGGTAACAAAGGCATCCTAAATCTACTGACACAGAAAAATAATTACCACCTGGCTTCATATGTTTTGTTTTTTTAACTTGTTATTGAAGTAACACATATTCACTGAAAAGTACTTTCTGGTACACAAAGTCCTAATATGATCGCACATTACTTTTTCAATGGCCTCTTTACTTATGTTAGTTATTATTTCATGAGTTTTCTTAACTACATTGAAGATTTTTAATTAACTTATCCCTAACTTTTACTAGTGTCTTTTTTCTCCCTTTAATATTACTTCTGTCACACTTTTGAGAAAAATGATTAATCTTTAACAAATTTATATATCTTTACTCCTTAGACCACAGTTGTGGACCACACATTCATAAAAATACCTAATTTTAGTCCTGTATCCACTAACATTCATTTCTTAAAAGTGAAGATACTGCCTTTCATTCTTATTTATTGCATCAATTCATGCCAAAAGGAACAACTCTGGCATAGCACCACTTTCTATCTCCTGGAAATGACTTACATTTTTGGTAGCTCTCTTGGTAACTTTGGGAATTTCAATTTGTCGCAGATTTTGCGAAACCTCTGTGATGCTTTTATGTCTGATTGCATTTTTCCTTTTAAAAATATAAAGAAACAGTCAATATACACTCAATACAGGTGACAATTAGTTAGATTAGAATGGAACTAGAGTTTAAAATAAAACATTTAAATAAAAGTCAATTATCTTAAGGTTGGCCTGAACTTACAGCAAAACAAGTCAACCCCAGAATTTCTAAAAGTAACAACTACAAATTTAAGTAGTTAAGAACAGTGAATAGCATCATGGAAAATAAAAAGCTAAAACCCTAAGCTTATCTCATGGAAGGCTCCTAGTTCTTGAAGACCTCATATGGACAGTCAAGACTATGGCTACACAATACATATTACACTGTATGTTCCCAAGATAATACAAACAGCGTCAGATGCTCCTTGTTAAGAACTCTTAATAATTGGCTTCTGTGATTCAGACATGAAGGCAACTATTAATTCAATAAATTATAGACAAAGACAAACTGGACTATGGGCTTAAGCATGCCCTATGCCAGGATGGTAACAGTGCAAGAAAATTCCTTTAAATCCTTGCACTCCTACCTTCTCTTCTTAGCTGATCTGGTACGAAGCTCCTCCAGTTGGTCAGATTCAGTGCTGCCAGACACTGACCTATGAGCGTTTGAAGTAAGAGGCACAGAAAGGGGTGATTTGCTCTCCTGGGTCATGGAGTCATCGCTGAAAAAATCTGCAGGAAGGACACCAGCCAGCTTCTGAGGAATCACAAATCCTAGGCTGTCGTAAAGACTTCCCAGTATCTTTGGGATTGAGTCAATATACCTGTGGAAGAGGTTGGTTAAATGTGGAACAGTCAGTCACCATTCCACTGTCTCTAATTCCTTCCTCACCTAGGATGAGAAACAGTCCTTACAATCCTACAGCTCTGAGACAATACCTATACAGTACTTGGTAAAGTAATGAAAAACTTAAATTAGTCATCAAACTTACAATTCCAAAATTTCTTCCAGAAACTGTGCTAGGTATGCTGAATCTTCAGTTAAACACACCATGCGCAGCAAATCTGTCAGCTGAAGATTTTAGAAAATTACCACATGGCCTCTGCAGGGAAGCTGAAACAATCTGTATACAGCATGTCCCAGGGGCAATAAGCAGTATACTTGCCTCATCCACTACTTGCTCCAGATCCTCTGCACGTTCATGTACTGAAGGGCACTGCAGACACAGCTCCAAACGAAGGAACACCTGAAGCTGGCACCTTGAGAGACAAAAACACCCGGTCTTATCTACTTCGAGTATCACCTAACTAAAAGGAAAACTCCTTCCTTGTGTAGAGATCTGTTTATAGAAGAAACAACCACAAAAAAGAACCATGGCTTTCCAAACAGCGATGGGGTTATTAGGTAAATAGATGATGCAGACTGCACACGGTGGTGGTGGTCTAGTCGCTCAGTCATGTCCGACTCTTTGCGACCCAATGGACAGTAGCCCTCCAGGCTCCTCTGTCCATGAGATTCTCCGGGCAAGAATACTGGAGTGTGTTGCCATTTCCTTCTCCAAGACTGCACATGAGAACATTATAAAGAACCAGCCACAAAAGCCTCTTCAAGCAATAGGCAATCTATTTTAAACTGATACTTTTTCAGTCATAGGAAAAAAAAGAAATAATGCTATTTGCAGCAACATGAATGGACTGAGAGATTATCACACTAAGTGAAGTCAGGAAGAGAAAAATAAATATCCCATGATCACTCATATATGTAGAAACTGAAATATGACACAAAATGAACTTACTTATGAAAAAGACTCACAAATATAGAAAAGCTACAGTTACCAAAGGAGAAAGGAGGTGAGGAAGAGATAAGTTGAGAGTTTGGGATTAGCTATATTTATACATAAACTATTATGTATAAAATAGATAAACAATTATGTCATAGTGTGTAGCACAGGGAACTATATTCAATATCCTATAATAAAAAAGAATTTTTTAAAAATTTAAAAAATATTAAAATCAATACAAGCAAATCTTGAGAGCTCTGTTTTTGGAGTAATTGTTTAAAAGAAAAGGTAGTTAATTACTCTCTGACTTTGCCTTCTTTATCCAGTTTTCCTACGTTCTGTCGAAGACTTTTGCTAGTTTTCAAGAAGTTGTTTCTTACTTGATATAGGCAGTTCATCTGAAAATATAAAATTATTACATAGGAGAATATTAGTATTAATGCTTATCATTATTTCTAATTTTCACACAATTTTCTAATGCCCTAAGAAGGGAAGTACATCTTCTTTCTTTCATTTGAGTGAAAAATAGTATACTATTCTTCTTTTATATATTTTAAAAGAACATTTTAAAAAAATGTTGAAAGCATTTGAGAGCAAGTGGGCATGGATACAGCAAGTCTGCAGGTTTGAACTTCCATAAAAGGAAGATTTCAATAAGTAGTGACTGAGAAGTCTAAGCAAAATATATCAACAGTTTAAAGAAATGTTCCAGGTGACTCTAAAGTGCAGTCAGGGTTAAGAGCTACTGGTTTAATTCATGCAGCTAACATGCAGATCAGATGAGGACACAGCTTCCATTTTTAAGAGACGTACATGTAATTATTCCTAATTGGCCCCTTCCCTTGATTTTCGCCTTCCCAGTGGACCATGTCCACCTTCCAAGACCTAGAACTGACTGGGCTCACCCTTCTCCCTCATCATTTCTGAAATGTACACTGCATAAGAGACATTTTCCAAGACACATGAGCCAGACCCAACAACAAGTAACCAACATTGTTATGACAAACGACAACCTCCAGACTGGCTTCTTCTAATTCCTTGGTTCCCTTGGACTTTAGGAACGCTTTAATGTTGGAGATGGTGTTCCGAGCACATGAATACAGTGTGGTGTCTCCTGCGGCCACAGTCTTTTGGTAATTTTCGTGTATGTGAGATAGCAGCTCTTCCTCAGTTCTAAAATCTGTGGGGGGAAAAATGTCAAACTGATCACCAGACCCAGTGGAAGGCATTGTATTTTATTTAAGCCAGTAGTTGTCAGCCGGGAGGTTTTGCTGCTCAGGGAACATCTGGGTCTGTCTGGGCTGTTTGTGACTGGTGGGGAGAGTAAGGATACCACTGGCATCTCATGGGTGGAGGCCAGGGATGCTGCTAAACATCTTATGGTTCACAGAGGATTATCCAGTCCAAAATGTCAAAAATGCAGAGGCTGAAGTAGTGCAGAGAGAGTGATTAATTTTAAGGGTTTGCACATCAAGTGTACATGTTATAAATTTAAGGGTAACCAGTAACAGAGAAGAAATAAACTATACTACCTCCAAACCCACTGAAGATTATCCTTGTCCCACTGAATTGCTGGGGCACTGTTGTGCTAGTCTATTTATGGAAAAAAGATCTAGTTCAGAAATTATGCTAATACCACATTGCCTTGCATTATAGTTAATTTGCTTTCCCATCTGCATTCCAGTATACCATACTAGCTCACCAAGGATGTTCTATCTCACTCAAACTGACCATCATCTATGATCCAGTGTTTCACAGGGGAAAAAATTATTTAAAGAAGCAGAAAACTTTTATCCCAGAATTTCCAAAAGAACTCAGAGGTGACATCATGCAATTATTGCCCAAAGTTCTTCTGCTCAAGTTTCGAAACTTTTCCCTTTATCTTTATTCACAAATATATAAAACTTATTGAACCACTTGTCCTATGGACAGGCCACAGACCTCCTTTGTGACTTTGCTTATACTAATCCTTCATTGGGCACACACTTCTTCTTATCTTTCTGCTTTCTAATCTCTGCTTATTCTTCAAAGTCTAACCTGGGCTCCACTGGCAAGCCTTCTCAACCTGTTCTTCCTTACAGTGACCTTCCCTTTCTCAACTCCTAGTATGTCTTTACTTCTAAAATGAACAAGTATTCTCAGTTACAGACTCTTGGTTCTTATATTCATTTTACCTATTCATTGTGTAGAGAGATATGTGTATGTATATACACACACATATATATGTATTCATTATTATTCTTTGTAACTAGATCATAAATCTAAGGAGAGGAAATTATTTACTCTACTTCCCATAACACACTTGTGGACATGTAGCAGATATCTAATAAATGTTCATTAAGTGAAGGATATGATTACCGCTTAAAAATATGAGCGTATAGAAGAGTAAACATGAATTTAGGTATCAAAATCCAATGGAATTAAGGAATACCTTTAGGTTTAGAACTTCTCAGTGTTCTTCCTCTGTTTTCCAATCTATCTGCTGTTCTCCCATTGGCTGTCTTTTGGATCCCTTTCTCCCCAGCTGTGTCTGGACTGCCATCCGGATGTAATTTCTGAGCCTTTACATTCAGTCTTGCAACATTCAGCATCTTTAAGGAACGGCACATGGTATTCATCTTCTTCCTCACTGGAGTTCGAGGGACACCTCCTACCAAAACAACACCATGGGAAGAAAAGTAAAATAACTTTTACTTCCGTGGGATCAAGAACTACTTTAATTTGGATTAAATATTCTGAGATGAATAGAATACTGAGATGAAGTATATCCCTTCAGAATGATCTGAATTGGGTAATTCTTGCTACAATACAGGGTGGAAAGCGCTCTTTTAACTGAAGTTTAGGAGCTAAATATCTCAACGTAATTGGATGATTTTTATATCTAATGCCAAACAGACAAGACAAAATGCCAAACAGACTCATTTTGGTGTTACCCAATAGTCACAGAGTTGCAATGAAACTCTTTTGAAAGGCAATCCAGCAGTCTACACCCAGAGCTCCCTTTTCCTCACTTTTTGATACAGTAACTTGTTCATGGAAATTTATGCCAAGGAAGTCACTCAGAGGATAAATCACATGCCTGATATACACTATAGTATTTACAATGGTAAAACCTGAAAACTATCTACATGTTCAGCAATATAAGGAATTTGCCAATTTTTTAAGCAATGAGATAGAACAGTAACTAAAAAAACCAAAAGAACAGATGAGCAAGTATCTATAAGCAGCACACAAAGTTGCATTTAAATTTCTATTATAACTAAAACCAAAAATGGTTTACTCATTAAGAAGGTAGGATTGTGGGTGACTTTTAAAATCACTGTTGTACTAATGTAATTATTTTCAGATGTGAAATAGAAGAACTTGACCTTTATTCAGTTACCATTTCAACTTCATTTTAGGGAATACCAATCTTTTAAAACATACAGTGCTGGGACCTACCTGGTGGTCCAGTGGCTAAGACTCAGCACTCTCAACACAGGGGGCCCAGGTTCCAGCCCTGCTCAGGGAATTAGATCCCACATGCCACAACTAAGACCCGGCTCGGACAAATAAATAATATTCACAACATACAGTGTCAAAAAAGACCGTAAGAAACAGCCTATCTACTTGCTTACGTTTCTTTCTGCTATCTTCCTGATTGGATACACTGTATTCTTCACGAGACTTTCTCTGGTAGAGCTCAGAGAGGCCCCGTGTCAAGTCACTCTCAGTTTTGGAAGGCTCTTCGTTAGTAGATGAGGCAGTCTGTAGTAACCTGTGAGTAAGTCAAGATATCAAGCATAAAGGTGACATTCTGATTTTCCAAAATGCTTTAAAAACAAAGCGACAACAATATTCATTATCCTTTTAAAAGCTACTCAAAAGAGGTCCTCACAAGGGAGAATGTCCCTCTTATCATTTATGATTTGAGTAAATTCAGGGACAGAAGTTACCTGTTCACAAAACCAGGTATTTGGGCATGTATTTGGGCATCCAGTATTGACTTTATATATATATATATATATATATATATACACACACACACACACACACAATTTATTTATTATTTATTTTTGGCTGTGCTGGGCCTTCATGGTTGCGTGGGTTCTTTTCTACTTGTGGTATGCGGGCTTCTCATTGCGGTGGCTTCTCGCTGTAAAGCACAGGCTCTAGGCGCTTGGGCTTTCAGTGGCTGCGGCACACAGGCTCAGCAGTTGTGGGCACACGGGCTTAGCTGCTCCATGGCATATGGGATCTTCCCCGATCAGGCCTCAAACCCATGTCTCCTGTATTGGCAGGTGGATTCTTTACCACTGAGCCACCTGGGAAGCCCCAATATTGACTTTCATTAATAAGATTCTTCATATCCTAGGGTTCATGTCTGATTATGGCAACTATTTCACTCACTTCTGGGCTTCCATAGTCTTTACCCAGTGTCCATACATTAAAGTACACAGTGATGTAATACCATGTAGTGAGTATCAGAGTAACTTTTGAATAAGTCTAGTAAACTAGTAGTTTACACTCTAGTAAACTAATTTGGGATTGATGAGCAGGGAAGAAGTAGAGCAGGGGAGATTAGCTATTAACTGTTTTACCACCAAAAGCTAAACTACAGTCACTAAGGAAATAATGAAAATAGCACAACTTTCAAAATGTATAATTTCTACTTCATTATCTTCCATTATCTAATACCATCTGATTTAAAAGTAGGACAGAGTTATGGTGACATTAGTTGAATTAGCTCATACAAGCAGCAGGTCTGAAAAAGCCTAATTCTCCCTAAGTGCGTTGGTATGTCCTTAATAGTGAGAAAGGTTTGCTTTCTTTTCTCCCTATTAATTTACCAGAGCTTCAGATTATTTTTTAAATGAAGATCAATCATGACAGACACAAAGAAAGCCTAACCCAATTTCTTCCCATTCCTTTCTCCCAGAGGTACCCAAGTCTATGACGAGGTTTTTATTTTTTTTTCATTATTGCTTTTTTAATTTTTTGTATGCTCTCGACTTCGTGTCTCATCTAACTAATTTTTAGTTCTTCAGAAGATGCTTTAAGTCTGTAAATTTTCCTTTATGTATAAATTTAGCTGCATCACACCAGTTTGCTGTTTTTCTTTTTTGCTGAGATTTAATACTAAATATTTTCTGACATCTATGAGAATATTTTATATTTGTAGTTAACCTTCTCTAAATTTTTAATTCTGGTAAAATACACGACATAAACTTATCATCTTCATCACTTTAATCACTTTAATCACCGCCTAGATCAATGGTAAGGATATTCCTAAAATGCTATCATCGACTCCATCCAGCTCCAGAATTCACCTTGTAAAACTGAAACTCTGTACCCGGTAAACAACATTCTTCATCTGTAACTAGTTTTTAAAATTACTGGACCATACTCAGGCAACATGGCTTTGTTAAAAACAAAAACAAACTCACATGCAAACAACTGAGAGCTGATTTCGATTATCAAAACCCAGGGAAATAAATAAGTTTTACCAAAATGACTCCATCAAACTTGAGCTGGCTCCACTGAGGTTAGAGCAAGGAAACCACTTCTCCACAACAGCTGAAGTCCAGGGAGCACTGCGGCCAAGCTCCTGCTGGGCCCATTCTGGGACAGGCAAGGCTATAGAAACAAGCAGAGATGGAACAGAAGAGGCATTAGAAGAAAGCAGAGACTCCCAAGCACTTGTTCCTCCTCTCAACTGACCGCATTCTTCCAGAGGAATTCCAAAGCAGCAGCATTAATGATGTTCCTTCAACTGCATGACCAATCCCAACAGGCCTTTGTTGTCTATGAACAATGTGCAAACACAGGCTTCCTCACTGTTCCTCACACACACTGGACACACAAGCCTCAGCCCTGACTTTTGCCACTATTCCCTCTTTCAACGCCTTTGCTCAGATATCACTTTTTCAACAAGGCCTGTTTAAAACTGTAACTCTCCCATCCCTTCACTTCCCATCCTTTTTCCTCTGCTCTATTACTACAGCACTTAACTCTTCCAAGCACACTACATAATTTCCTTACTGAGTTTACTGCCTTGTCTCCCCTGACTGGGTAAGCTTCACGAGAACAGAGACCTTTATTTTGTGCTCGGATGTTCTCCTGGCACCTGGAACAGAGCCTGACACAGAGTAGGCCCTCAGTAAATATCTGCTGAGTGAATATGAATGGAAGAGATATCAAACTGATGCTATTTCTATCTGTTTGGCATAAATAAGGTTTGTACCCTATTAGTAACAATGCAATGAAGTAGAAGGTAGACAGAGCCCTAAGATTTACATGCACTTTATTAAACATATGAAAGACTAGGTTTCCTCTTATACTTTCAATTTCAAACAAGTTTCACAGAGCCGTTGGCCTCCTCAGAAGTGCTTCAGGATTTCTATAAATAATGAGTTAAAACTGCCAGAAATACTGTAGCTGACTTTTACCTGTTCTATAACGGATACTAAGTTCTACTAAGAACATACTGAATTAAAGGTTGCGATGCTAGAAACGATGGTGACCCACTGGCCTGGTTCAGAAGCTTACCTGAGGCAGCAGGAACTTCAAGAGAACTGTCAATCTGTTTCAGTACACCATCCACAACCTCAGAAAAAAGGGAAGCTGAATCCTGGGGGCTCTCTGCCACAACCGTCTGGAGAAGATGTCTTTGAGATTCAGTCTCCCGGGTGCGGAACAAAGTGAGAATGGTAGCACTGACGGAGAAGGGAGAAATAACTCCAGTGATGGGGGGCCAGCCTTCGCCAGGGTCCACACTGGCAACCTACATGAGAAGTTCTAATTAGTTGAGAATACTGTTGACGTGTGTCTAAAGAAGCACGTGGTTTAATAAAAGGATGACCTGACCGTGTCATCCAATAATTAACATAAAGGAGAAAACTGAAAGGGGCTTGGGGGATACTGGTGCTGGAGCTGAACTTACTGATCCTATAATCCCAATCCCTCAATTTACAGAGAAAAATCTAAGTTACCAGGAGTATTTACTAAGCACTTACTATGTACTTACTGCAACTCACAGACTCCTCATAACCACTGAAGTAAAAAGGATTATCGGGACTTCCCTGGTGGTCTAGTAGTTAAGGCTCCAAGCCTCTACTGGAGGTGGTCTGGGTTCCATCCCCAGGTGGGGAATTAAGATCCCACAAGCTACACAGTGTGGTCAAAAAAAAAACTTATCTCCATTTCATACAGGAGGAATTGAGGTTGAAGAATAAGCAACCTGCTTAAGGTCACCCAGTTACTACGAGGCAGAAGCCAAGCATGTTTGAATTCAAAATTCAAGTTCTTAACTAGGAATCAGTGCTATCACTTGAGGGGATTTATTCAGATCATATGGTGGGCAGCCAAGCAGAGACCTAATCCAGATACCTGACTCTCTGACCCCAGTGCTCTGTTGGAGCACACAACTCTTAGAACAACACCTGTCCAAACGACTATCCAGCTTTTCTCTGGAATGTTTCACAATGGAATCTAGAAGATAGAAACCTTCTGAGCTTACAAAGGCAAAAGATGAAGTAAAGTAAGGAATTTGCTAGAGTTAAAAAATTCCATCACCTTTCTATCAAATCTGGGTATACATGAATTCCTCTTCAGCAGACATTAATAAGTTTGTATAACTACTGGACACTATTACATCTAATTTTACAATGTAGAGTTTTTTAAAATATGAATTTATTATGTAAATACATAATACAATGTATTAAAAACAATGAGAAACCACCTATCATTTCACTTCCCTAATGTAATTATCCCATCTGGCCCACCACCTTTTCCCTATATGAATATAATTTAGTTTAACTGGATTCAAGGTTACATGCAGTTCTATATGTTGTTTCTTTAATAATAAGCACTGTCATGACTCTATATTAGTTGCAAAAACAGCATCTGTTTCATTGAGACTGTATTACATAGGGGGCTCCCATTTTATAAATTCACTTACTTTACTTTACCCGTGTTATTAGACCAGAATAACTTACCACCTGGAAGATACCTACCAGATGTAACTCTTCAGCAGTCATCCTGTTTACCAGCTGCTGAAATAACATCCTCTGAGTTGATCTGTCCCCATCAGGACTTTGCAGCATCCAGCTATCGGTGCCCAAAGTGCCACTTGCTGGGAGGGACCACTGGGTCACTGTGCCTTTTAGAAAAATTCTGACTGGTTTCTGAAAATGTCTCTGATGCATGGCCAAGGGCTCTAGGGTGACTGTCCATGTTTCCTGAAGCTCTTTGCCTGTGAGGAATAAAGGATATTGAAATTCTAATAAAACAAGTAGTTCCTAAAGAGAGATTTAAGGTTAAGAAGAAAAAAGTTACACTGCCAGCTGAAGTACCAGCATTATCACTTAGTGCACACTTCAACCCCTACTCTACCGTCAACAGGCTATCACAGCAAATTCTATAAGGAAAAGCTGTCTGTGACAGGAATTATAAGGGTGTGATTGATGTCAGAACTCAATAATTATGACTTAGAAATAAGTATTCAAGCAATACACACACACAAAATCTGCTTTTTAAATCCATAAAATACAGCACATCCTATCTTATGAGGTTAAATTCTAAAGACCATGTAAGACAAACCTGTTTAAATAATACTCTTGAAATTTCCTTAAATTGCCCATCATGTAAAATACAGTTTATGAATATCTATATATAATATTGCTTGAATATATAATAATTCAGAAATTAAGATTCACTATATAGCAAATCATATGATAAAGCAAATTTATGAAGATTCCAGTATGTTGGCTCTTTATGGTAATAAACACCATTTTCTATTTGAGTTGACTAATTTGTTATGTCTTCTTAGCCAATCATTGATTTTCTAGGGTCTTCAATTTATCATCTACGAGACAGTGAAACCTTAGCACCCATTAGCTTGGGCACCTGACAACTCTGCAAAAAGCTGGAAAACTCTTTAAAATCACTGTTGTCCTTTTTGCATGGGCTTACATTGTACCAGACTTCAGTCCTTTCCTGTGGTATCTCTGATTTGGCTTAGACATCTTTTAATTACAAGCATTAACGGAAGGCCTAGGCCACTAGAAATTCTAAAGAATTCATAGGCCTGCCTTGAAGACATGAATGACACCCAGACCAACCACTCCATCCCCACACTACCCCTGCCCCAAATAGTATTTGCTTACCTTCAACAGGGAAAAATAATGTTCCTTCCATCCGTGGAAATGAGGCTTCATACTCAGGAGAATTATAGAGCAAACAGTTTAAAGTGGAATCAGCTGGCAGAGTTGAAATCCATGGAGAAAGGTGAGGTTCCCTTGACAGCTTTCTTTCACCACTGAGCAGTGTTCCCCCAGCTTTGGTAAAATCCTGGCTGAAACTTTCAAATGGCAAGACGGTGCCTCCCACATGGTAGAGCAGTTCACATACTGTCCAGTAGCCAAGGTGGTCTGGGGATTCCCATAGCTAAAATAAAAATTACAAAGAATGTTGGGTTATTGCAAATTAGGTATTCATTGTGGTGTTGGAGAAGACTCTTGAGAGTCCCTTGGACAGCAAGGAGATCAAACCAATTTCCTAAAGGAAATCAGCCCTGAATATTCATTGGAAGGACTGATGCTGCAGCGGAAACTCCAATACTTTGGTCATCTGATGGAAAGAGCCAACTCATTGGAAAAAAAACCCTGATGCTGGGAAAGATTGGAGAAAGGAGGAGAAGGGGGCAACAGAGGATGAGATGGTTGGATGGCATCACCAACTCAATGGATGTGAGTTTGAGCAAACTCTGGGAGATGGTGGAGGACAGGGAAGCCTGGCGTGCTGCAGTCCATGGGGCCACAAAGACTCAGACACGACTGAGCGACTGAACAACAAAAGGCATTCATAAAAGTAAGGGAGATCAGGAGAAAGTAGACACGTACATTAAAGGATCAAATTATGTAATTAATGTATCAGTGGAACCAAACATAAATAATGGCCAGCATCCCATTACCAGGGCTTCCTTCATGGCTCAAATGGTAAAGAATCTGCCTGCAATGCAGGAGACCCAAGTTTGCTCCCTGGGTCGGGAAGATGCCCTGGAGAAAGAAATGGCAACCCACTCCAGTATTCTTGGCTGGAGAATCCCATGGACAGAGGAGTCTGGCAGGCTACAGTCCATGGGAGTCACAAAGAGTTGGACACATCTGAGCGACTAACACACACATCCCATTACTACACAGCCTAGGAATAACTGCTATATAATAGGCCTTTAAGAAAGCACCCCAGAGAAGGCAATGGCATCCCACTCCAGTACTCTTGCCTGGAAAATGCCATGGACGGAGGAGCCTAGTGGGTTGCAATCCATGGGATTGCAACTCGTGTTGCAATGGACTCGTGTCCTAAGAGTCAGACATGACTAAGCGACTTCACTTTCACTTTTCACTTTCATGCATTAGAGAAGGAAATGGCAACCCACTCCAGTGTTCTTGCCTGGAGAATCCCAGGGACAGGGGAGCCTGGTGGGCTGCCATCTATGGGGTCGCACAGAGTCGGACACGACTGAAGTGACTTAGCAGCAGCAAGAAAGCACCCATACAGTGAAAACAGCATTTCGGTTCTATCTTCTGTCAAGGAATAGAAGTGATGCAAATCACTAGGGACAAATCATAAAATGTTAGAAGGAATACAAAACCATTACACATGAATAAAAGAGAACAATCATGTCCTCCACCACACAACCACAGCCGAGTGTCACCAGTGAGGCAGGAGCATCTCCCTTAGAGGGTTACCACCCACAGGTCTTCTCAGTTCTATCTTCAGTGTTTTCACTTAAGTCTGGGACTCTTACTGTAGCCTACAGAGTCGGTACTCTGCCTCCAATCTTTCCTCCTTTGATTTAAGAAGTATTCTAAAAACTACATACTGAATCATGCTACTTCTGTGAAAACTCACATGGGCTTCCCATTGCCCTACAGTAAAGGTGACAGAGCATTTAAGTCCAGCTCTAAACAACCTTTGCAAAGACACTATCCTTCCCTCACTCGTCCCTACGTCCCAGGCACACTAAACCGTTTGCTGTCTCCTGAACATGCCATATTTTTATTGTATAACGCATCCACGTTTTCGCCGGTTCTGTTTGCTGTGTCTTCCCCTTCCATTTTCACCAACTGGATGCTCATTATACTTCATTATCTAGCTCAAACCCCGCTGTCCCTGTAAAAGCATTCCTTACTCCATCACACATAGCTGACTCTTCATCCAACCTTCTTTTAACAAACTTTTATTGAGCCACCACGTGTGCCACTGAGACAGGCTGGGATCTGGGACTGTTTACTGGAGTGAGTGCTCCTGGACAAACGAATTCAGAGGAACTATGAGGGACTAAAAGGAGCTGTAAGCAGCCAGGGCAACTATGAACAATACGATGCAAAAAGGCCACAAATCAACTGCCATTTCTGAGGTGTTGAGAGCAAAAGCAGGGTACTGAGCATGACCCCGCACACAGCACCACCTGGGGGGGTGGGGGGAGGACAGCCCACCCAAGCTATACCTCCACCCACCCCACCCATCTGCTCCCACGGCACCCCATGTAAGAAAACAGATCCCTGCCTGTCTCCTAAGGGCACCTGTTTCTTGTTCTTGCTCCCGCGAGCAGTACGAGTCCCAACAAAACCTAAACTGAATTTCTCATCTGGCCTCTCACCAACTTCTGTTGATTAGAGTCCCAGGACCCAGGTTGATAACACCATGAATTAGCAAAACAGCCCCTATCTTTGTTGATCTTAAAGCCAAGCGTGTGGTGAGTAAAACAGCAATAACATGTGAAATTTAACTCAGAACCACAATATACCGTACAATATTCAGGCACTATGGGGTTTCCCAGGTGGCAAGAATCTGCTGCCTGCCAATGGAAGAGATACAGGTTCAATCCCTGGGTCAGGAAGATCCCCTGGAGGAGGAATTGGCAACCCATTCAAGTATTCTTGCCTGGAGAATCCCATGGACAGAGGAGGCTAGCAGGCTACATTTCACGGGGTCCCAAAGAGTTAGAAAGAACTTAGCACACACATTGTTACATGAAGGAGCACCTCCCCTAGAATATATTGATGGTGCTGGTTTGCCTACTCCACAGATGAGCTAAAAACTGTAAACCATAAACAGCTAGGTGAATGCGAAAAATTAAAACCAGACTGGCCTTCCAGGTCATCTCCACATTTTCCATTATATCAAAGTTCAAAGAGCGGTATAAGGGCGCCCAGGTTCACAGCAAGGCAAAGACACTCCAGTCCAAGAACCCAGGACTCTTCTGACAGCACTCTTAACGTAGGGATCGTGGCCCTGATGGACTTGGACGAATTGACTGAATGGTTTAGGATCAGTAGTTAAAGGAAAAAAACCATGAAAGAAAATAATCAGAGCACAACAGAACACATCACATATAGTGAAGATAAGCAATGTACTGCAAATGTTTTGCTTTGGCTATGCCTGTCACTTTGGAAAAGGCTGCAATAGATTAATTAATTGTTATTTAATGTTAGCACCAAGGCAGCCACACCTGTGCTCACTGGCTAAGGGGAAGAGTGGTAAGCTAGTTCAGGTATCATAGATTCTGATTAGGATTTTCTGCCAAAGGAAAACAAAAAATGTGTTGAAATCGTCTCAGCCAGAAGACCAGCCAGGAAAAAAAAAATTCTTTTCTTAGCAAATGAAAACTTTCTTAGTAAGTAAAACTTTAAAAAGGAGCTGAGAAGGACATTAGCTTTGTTTAAAAATATATGTACATGGGGCCTTCCCTGGTGGTACAGTGGGTGAGACTCCACACTTTCAGTGCAGGGAGCCTACTAGGCTTGATCCTTGGTCAGGGAACTAGATCCCACAGGCCACAACTAAGACCATGTGCAGTCAAATAAATAGAGAAATACTAAAAACATACACATATATGTACATGACTTAAAACATGACCAGTATATATATAGAATATGGCGATGTTTTTATTTTTATGCATATTATGGACTAAGTAACAGACAAGTCCTAGTGGAAGTTTCAGACTTAAGAATTTATAAATGTGCACAAGACTATAAGCTCCAAGACAGCAGGGACTACATTTGTCTGGTTCACTAATGATGCACCCAATATTCAGCATACCAGCATATGGTGGTATGGTTTAGTCACTGAGTTGTATCCAACTCTTCCGTCCCTGTGGACTGTAGCCCGCCAGGCTCCTGGGTCCAGCATGGTATGTGTTCAGTAAATCAGAAGCATAAGGTTGAAAATGTGAGAAGGGTCTCTCATGCTCCCTTCTAACTGATGTCTTTGCAAGAGTTCTGTGTGCTTGGATTCCCTGAGTCTGTTTCTCTCAGTTCTACTTCCCAGACTGTAAACTCCACAAGGCAGGCCCTGGAATTTCTCTTCTTTCTTTTCTCATTGTGAGAGATCCCCAAGGACAGAACCCAAGTCTCCCTTTCGCCTCTGCAGTATAGCGAAGCAGAGGCTTCTGAACACGAAAAATTAGATCTACACTAGAAAAAAAATTCCAGAAAAGCTTATGATTGTTTGATGGGCTCTTTCTCACAGGAAACAACATAAAAAATGTAAGAAGGCTTAGAGAAGATCCACTTCTGCAGGTGATGGGATGTGAAACCTGGAAAAATCTTTAGATAGATACTGTCAACTTGCTTATTTTAATATCATTCTGAAAAAAGAAAAAGAATCTTCAAGCCCTTTCTGCTAAGACTTCTTTCTAGCCAACATCTGATATAATACAACTCCAGAATAAAGATTCTCTGTGATTTAGTATCAATTATCCCAAATCAAGCACTAATGTGTTGGGTCCTGTGTCCAACACTTAATCTGCTGCCTTCACAAACACTTTTAGGATTCCATCTTCTCCATCAATCTTTACCATCCCCTTAAACACTTCTGCCTTTTCCTTTTCTCTGACAAGCCACTGCTGCCTTATTTGGCATTTGCTACATCTTTTGGGGGCTTTGTATGTAAAAGTAATTTGGAAATTTTAACCCACTATATCATTCTTTGTGTTAAGTATCTCCTCATTTCCCATTTGCAGCCTTGCACTGCTACCTCAGCGACATGCTTCCAATAGACGCAATCACATCTTTCATCTGGTTAAGCCACTTTCCCAATCAGAACAAAACCTGAATTTATTACCTTGGCCCTACAGGTAGGCTTCTGCTACCTTCTAACTTCTTCTACTCTGGTGCTTGCCCCTTGCCTACTAGGTTTCGGCATTCCTTGCTTCTAAAACAAGAGGCTCCTTTTCCACTCAGATATTTACACTGGAATGTTCTCTTTGCCAGGAATTTTTTCCCCAGCATCACATTCCTCCTCCTTCACCATTCCATTCTCTGTTCAAAAAGGTCTTCCTGACTACTAACCTATGTACCACTGCCTCCAGCTTCTACCTCCTCTGCCTCACCCTCAGCCTCTTACTCAGCTTTATTCTCTTGAAAGCATAATTTGAAATCCTATCACTTACTTGCTCATCTGTTAACCTTCCCTGTGTAATATTTCTTCCCCTAGAAGGTAAACTCCACTTGGCTGACCACCACCTGCCCAGCAGCTAAAACAATGTAGTGGGTACACAATGTAGTGACTCCTCAAATTAAGTTATTAATTGACAACATGAAGTCATAGCACTTAACTACAGCATGGGGTCCACTGCCTCGCCAAAAATTCAAATTAGCCATCTAGGACTGTAAGTAGGTAAGAATTTGTTCATTTGGCCAATAAATACTTCCTGAACACCTGTAACACAGGAGACAGAGAGATTTGTGTGCCTGCCTCTGAGGTTATTCTTAAACTTGATGGAAGGCAGGTGACTGCACACCTGGAACATATAATGGAGAAAGGGTAACTGCCACAAAAGTGTTTGGAAATTCAGAAGCTGAGACTGAGTAAGCTGCCATGTGGCAAAGGCCCTAAAGAATGAAAAACTGAAAATGTTAGTCGCTCAGTCGTGTCCAACTTTTTGCCACCCCATAGACAGTAGCCCACCAGCCTCCTCTGTCCACCGGATTCTCCATGCAAGAGTACTGAAGTGGGTTACTATTTCCTTCTCCAGGGGATCTTCCAGACCCAGGGATGGAACCTGGGTCTTCTGCATTGCAGGGAGGTTCTTTACCATTTGAGCCACCAGGGATTTAAACTGGCACAAAAGAGCAGTGGCATTTCAAGTGACTAAGACAGAACAAGCTGTGAAGATCTGTTGGGCAACTAGATTATGTTTGAGACAGGCTGGAACATGAGTCATGTGTCGAAAAAAGTGAAGTCTGGAAAGACAGACAGGACCCAAATAGTGAAGGTCCTCAAATGAGTTAACTCAGTAGGTATTCAGGGCCTACCTATCCCGTTGTGATGACTGTAGGGATGTGTTGTGACTCCAGGACTTTCCTTCGGAAGGGACACCTGTTGATCATGTTAGTCTCCTCCTGGGTTCAGGAGCTGCTCGTCAGACGCTGCCAAGTTCTGGTTCATTAGAACCAGTCCACCGCTTAATCTTACCTTCGGCCAGTCGGTGGTATCCACCCAGTAGAGGGTGATTTTTCGGGTTCTCATGACTTCCTGGACTCTCCTGGGCAGCAACTTCTCCATCACCTGCTTAGGAGTAGGCGGCAGGCGCTGGGCCTGGGTCTCGGAACCGGACACGAACTGCAGCAGCTCCCTCTGCGAGTGCGGACAGGGGGCCAGGAGGAAGACGGCGTTCACAAAGCCCCCGAGCGCAGACTTTGCCTCCCTGGCCTCGCCCTCCACGTCCAGCAGTCTCCTCCCGCTATTACGCAGAATCGGCTTGGTGGGCGACGTGATCTCCGGCCGGTCCCACTGATAGTCTAGCAGCGTCTCCATGAGCGCGCTGTGAGTGTGGCTGGCCCTGGGCGCCGGGCCGGGCAGGTGGGCGCCCTGGGAGCCATCCCCGAGCCGGGCCTCCAGCTCCTCCTCAAATTCCTCCCAGGAGCGGACCCCCAGCTCTCGGAAGTCAGAGACGCGGGAAGGCCGGTTCCGCGCCCCCTGAGAGTCAAAGAACCTGAAGGCCCAGCGGACCCTGGCCAGGCCAAACCTGCAACTCAGGTAAGTGAGAAGGCGCAGGGCAGCTCGCCGGACCAGGCTCTCACCAGCGACGCCTCCCGCGGTGTCCAGCAGCAGCATTACGTTGTGGCAGCAGGCCATGTCTCCCGCCCCACTGCCTCAGGGTTCGAGATCGGACCTGCGCCGCTCTCTCCTAGGCCCTTGCTTCAGGGAACCAGCGCCATCCTCCGCTTCTCCCAGGGACTCTGGTCGAAAAGCTCCCGCGCTCTCCAAGGGCCGCTGGCATTGGTGGAGCTAACTCCCAAACTCAGCTCCAATTGGTCGCTTGCCTTACGTAAGTTACGAGAGTAACTTTCATCCTTCGCGTTGATTGGAAGAGCGATGGAGAAGCACTCGGCTTGATTGGTGGAGGGCGGGACTGTGGGCGGGATGCTTTGTTCCGGGAAAAACTTAATGTTCATTGGCCTGAGCCACCGTTTTAAAATTTAAAGAGGTGGTGCCTGCGGTCTGTGTCTTTTGGTTTCCGTTTTCCGGAGGAGGACTGTGCTTGTGCAGGTGGTATTTACTAAGACCTTGAGAATAGTATCACCGACTCGATGGACAGGAGTTTGAGTAAACTCCGGGAGTTGGTGATGGACAGGGAGGCCTGGCGTGCTGCGATTCATGGGGTCGCAGAGTCGAATACGACTGAGTGAAGTGAACTGAACTGAATTGAACTGAACTGAAAATAGCAGGGGAAGAGAATTTGGGGTAGTTTGAATTGAACTGATTTGTAAGCCACCCTAGCCTTTCTATGGAGTGGGATCTGAAGACGAAGACAAGCTTTCTGTAATTTAAGAAAAAAAATATTAGAAATTAAAAGTTCGCTCTCTTTGCCCTAGTTTCTAGGCGTTTCTGTTGAAGAAGGTAATTGAAGATTGGGATAAAAGTTTAACTTGAGAGAAAAAAGGAAACCGCTTGAGAATGATTAAATAAGTTACGGTACACTTCCAAGGGGAACGTCATGGAAATTTTAATGTTTTTATACGTAATGTTAAATGGAAAAAAAGACCGCAAAACCACACATGCAATGAGATTCCAAAATTTTCTGTCTACCTGCATATATATTTTTAAACTGTTAATATTATGAAGGGAAAATTTAAGTGTATCTGGTAATAAAATGGTGATGGTTTTAAAGGTTTGTTTTGGCTTTTTTGGTTGCATTTCCCAAATTTTCTACAGTTCTGCCTTTACATTTGAGGAGAATATTCTTTTTTTAATATATTTATTTTAAATTGAAGGATGATTGCTTTACAATACTGTGTTGGTTTCTGCCATACATCAACATGAATCAGCCATAGGTATACATATGTCCCTTTTCAGGGAGAATATTCTTAATGAAAAGGATCCTTCGTTTGCAAATAGAAGAATCCTCAATTGTAAAAAAGCTGTGGCTCTAGATCCTAGAGATTCCTATTATTGGTTCTAACAGCAGAGGAGGATCTAAACTTTCTAACTAGAACTGGGCTACCTTAAATATTCTTCCAATCCTGAGATTCTCTGAGCCAATTGTCTCAAGAAAGACCACCAATGATGCTTTGTAGATTTATTCCTGGACGTTTCCTGATCCATCAACTGTCAGAGCAATAAACATTTTTTTAGTGTTAATGTGTCAAGTGCAAGTGAAAGTCAGTCGGTCCTGTCTGGCTCTTTGGGACCCCATGGACTGTAGCCTGTCAGGCTCCTCTCTCCGTGGAATTCTCTAGACAAGAATACTGGAGTGGGTAGCCAAAAGCTTCTCCAGAAGATCTTGCTTACTAAAAACACACACACCTGTTGTTCATCATTCATTCAATAAATAATCATTACAGGGAACAAAAGAGCTAACTGTCCTTACCCTGGGAAGCTTACATTCCAGTGAAGTGAAGTCAAGTCGCTCAGTCGTGTCGACTCTTAGCAACCCCATGGACGGCAACCTACAAGGCTCCTCCATCCATGGGATTTTCCAGGCAAGAGTACTGGAGTGGGGTGCCATTGCCTTCTGCGTATGTTACAGTTCAGTTCAGTCGCTCGGTCGTGTCCGACTCTTTGTGACCCCATGAATTGCAGCGCGCCAGGCCTCCCTGTCCGTCACCAACTCCCGGAGTTTACTCAAACTCATGCCCATCGAGTGGGTGATGCCATCCAGCCATCCCCCTACATTCCAGTAGGGGGAGCCAAAGAAGGAAGTAACATACATGTTCAGTTCAGTTCAATCGCTCAGTCCTGTCTGACTCTGCGACCCCATGAATCACAGCACGCCAGGCCTCCCTGTCCATCACCAACTCCTGGAGTTTACTCAAACTCATGTCCATCCACTCGGTGATGCCATCCAGCCATCTCATCCTCTGTCGTCCCCTTCTCCTCCTGTCCCCAATCCCTCCCAGCATCAGGGTCTTTTCCAATGAGTCCACTCTTCGCATGAGGTGGCCAAAGTATTGGAGTTTCAGCTTCAGCATCAGTCCTTCCAATGAACACCCAGG